GGAAATGGAGCACAATTTCCGACTGACCAAGCAGGTAGAAATTAGCATGCACAGTAATTTAAAGAGCCAGCATAACCATTTTTATTGGCAGGCAGCCTATGGCCTACATATTGCAAATAACCCCTCATGTATTTTTTAAGGCTGGGGGATTCTTGTCAGAATTGACAGAATCCCAGCATTCCCTTTAAGGAAATTTTAACTACTTCTGGCTTCAAGACACATGTTTAAAGTATGCGGGCAAGAAATGATTGTGAATCAAATGAAAAGAAATCCAGTTGTCTCTTTTCAGTTGTTTCGTTTTCAGAGTCAAGATGTTTTAGCAATGACCTGCTCATGTTTTTACCCTGTAAGAGGTTAGTATGTCCAGTGTATCCAAGTCTTTTGTTAGTTTGGTTCGGTATCTACCAGGCTGGTGGAATAATAATGCAGATTGTTAAATACCATACAACAAAATAGCCTTGGTTCTCCTGATCATTCACATAGAATTTGTGCACACAGAGAGAATTCCAGTGTTTCCAGTCCTGTCACTGGAAGTTGAGTGACAGGTTATAATAACTTAAAAAGACAGATGGGGCGGCGGGGCGGTGGGGGGGGAGGTTAGCCAATCTGAAAGGACACCACGAACAACCAAAGTTTCTAGAACGCAACATTCAAACATGTGATAGAATCAGAAATTATTTTCTCTACCAAATCCAACGGCCTACGATGAAGATGATGCCTGGGATGAAGTTCCTGGATTCTGGAGGCAGGAAGAGCCTGAATGCTGGGGACACTGTTGCCTTCACAGGGAGCACCTGTGGCTTTCCGGAGGCATCTAGTGGGCAACTACGCTGGAAGAGAAGGACGTGAGGCCAGGTGGGCCCGTGAGCTCATCTAGCAGAGGTTTTCCTATGTTCTTGCGGGCACTTGAATAGTTGCTGCCTTTTGGAAGCTGTATATTCAGTGTCCTCCGAAAACAATACATGATTCTTCCCGTGTGCAGCTACATTAAGAAGGGCCCATGGAAGGCATTAGTGACTTTTACTTACTTTCAGTAGAAATCTGAATGTACAAGAGTGTATAACACTGTTGCCCAAAGTTTGCTTTTACCATTGTACCTAAGAATGGCCTTCATTAATTTCCTAAACTGGTACTGGACATAGCAGACCTCTCTTTTATGCATCCTTCCCCAAGGTAGTGCCCTCCAGATGTGCTGGGCCAGTGCCACCATGCTTGGCCACCCTGGCCACTTGCCAGCTGCCTGGAGCTGCCTGGAGCTCTAGCTCCACAAACCTGCAAAACTGGAGATGGCGCTTGGTGCAAACCATCCTTCTGCAGCTAGATGATAATCCAGGAACACAAGACCACGTACACCCAGGACTAAGTTAGGCTGTGGAAGAAGACTTGCACATGACATAATACCTTGAATGACAAGTGAACCAGTCACCTGGCTGCAAATAGTTCTATCCCTGTTTGTATTGTGGATTAAAGATTGCTCTAGCAGCCCTCGGTTCGGATTATTACCTGAAACACCATTGCCATCTGTACTTTAATTTTTAACATGGGTAAAACACCCTGCCTTATGCTTTGTTCAGGAACCTGAACACAGGATAACATAAAGATAAAGCAAAGAGGACAACATTGTAAAATAGTGAACAACCAGCCATTAGAAGCAATGCCAGAAAAAGGCGGAAGTCATGTGGCCCCAGGAAAGCATTGTTGGGGCCACAGAAATTTTTTGGAGCTCCCCTTCCGGGGGCAGAGAGAATCCCCCTGCCCATCAGTCCAGTCTTAGCTTAGCAGCCCTAGGACCATGTGATGTACATTTAAACACTGGCAGTGTTCAACCATGCTACATGTGGTGTATATTTAAACTGGGATTTCTCCCATCCTGGGCTGCACGGTACACAGTCTATTGGTCCTCCATGGCAAAGATTATCCTAGCACTAGTAATAATGGACTTGCAGAATTTTCAGGCAAGGGACCTGATGATCCCACATCTTCCTCTGGACTCTGCAGTAGGTTGGATGGCGGAGGAGCAAATTCTCACATCGTTGCCTGAACCAGGTATCTCCCGGTCTCCATGTTGCTGCTTTCCAGAAAGGCTATTTCAATTGTCCCCTGTAGGGTCCCAGCTAGTTTCTCTTCCATTTCAATATGCACAGAGACAGTAGGGCAAGATCACAGTGAAACTTAAGATTGCAAGATTATGCTGACTGCTGGTTTAGTGCTTATTAGTCTTTGGGAATAGTGAAAACATGCAGTGTGACTGGAGCAGAATTCAGTCTGAGCCACATCTGAAGGGGAAATAAGATCTTTCATTAGTAATTTTCTTTAACGGCCCTTGTTAATTTTATAATCCGGTTCTGGTCCTAATAAACCTATGTGTTAAATCAGTGGTTCTCAATCTGTGGTCCACGGACCCTTGGGGGACTGCTATGTCATCACGGGGGGCCTGTGAAGACTCGAAGAAATGTTATGCTTTGTTTACAGTTAAATCTGAATGCACAAATGAAAGCAAGAGGGAATGGGAAATAGAACAAAATCTTAATTTTCCATGCTTGTTCTGTAAAACTTGGCCTTTTTAACCTACTGCTTCAATTAAAAACAATCAGAGGTATAACTCAGCTATGAGAGTAGCTGTCTGATGGCAAGCAGCTGCGTTTGGTATTTCTGCACATGCTGAGAACATGCAAGTGAAAGACTCTGAGTGGCCCTGGATCTGTAAACAAAATATATGGTGACTGAACACAGACAGACAAGGGAGGAGGCGAGAAAGAATTGTAAAAACTTTCCATCAAATTTTAATATAAAAATTGGCATCAGATTTGGAATTAGCACATCAAAATACCATAAAATGGGCCATTTGAGCGAAAAGAGTGTGATATTATTATTTGAAATCGCATGGAATATTGCAATAAAGATCTTATAATAGGAGTGTGTGCATTAACAGATCAACTTATTTCCCCTTCTCTCCAAATGTGAAGGCCCATCATGAGAAAACCGAAATAAGTATTTGATGCAGTCTAGTGCTTTAAAGCTTGAGTTAAGTCTTGGTGGTCCACAGCCACAAAAGGTATTTAAAGGGGGCCCATGGTGAAGGGAAGGTTGAGAACCAGTTTTAAATCAACATTCCCCATTTTGGATGCTGTAGGTGAGTGGCCCTGGCCTAGAGATTTTTCCAAATCCACAAGAAGTGGGAGCCCCTTGTTTGAGATTCACATTGCTTGTGACTTCAATTGGTCCAAGTCTGGAATTACTACAATGTGCTCTGTTTGAGGCTGCCCTTGATGACTGTTTAGAGACCACAACTGATTCTGAATGCAGCCTTTTCCCTGGGGCAAATGGTCAGTTGCTTGGAGTATATCATGCACTTTGGCTGCCTTTCTTTAATCTTTCAGGTAGAATTCAAAGTGTGTATTTTGACACACACACACAAAAGGCATGGAAATGCTATCTTCCCCTCCTCTTGTTTTGATCTCTTATTTTAGAGATTGCTGGAGACACTCTCTTCCCCATATTCTTGGGCTTATGCAAAAGGGTAAATTGTAACAAATTTGAGCTGAAAAAAAATCCAAATTGCCAGGATATTTAAGGTACTAAAATATAACTTAAGTACAATCACTAGACCTAGGAATGTCTGAGTATAGTTAAATCCATTCTGTGTTTCATGGATTGTCATGTATCTTTTTTCCACTGTCCATTCAGGGATGGAAGCAGGGGACGGGAGAATTAGAGAAGTAGAAGAATTTTCTCTCACTTGTGAATTTTGTGCAAATTTCCCATCTCATAAAATTATAAAAATGGCCCAAAGGCTACATGATTCAGTAAACACTGATCTGCTATGGAATCTACAGGTCAGAGCCAGAGAAATCAAAACTTTTTTGAATCCATTGCCAATTTCTCCAGCATCTCTGCCCAGAATTTTGTTAGCATGGACTAATGAACAGAAACCACATCCCAAAAGCCAGCAAAGCCCAGCCAGCTTTCTGTGGACAGAAGTCCTCCTTGTCTGAAAGGTGTGAGCTAGCTCCTGTTCTCACTAGGCGTGTTGGCAGGACTGGGAATATTAGTGTATGCTTTGCAATAGTAACTAGCTCTATAAGCTGATTAAGAGTGGCCCTGAATTGTGCATCTCTGGACTTTTAAAAAGATGGAGTCACTCAGAATAATGTGGCAAAAATTAGAGGTCTGGCAAGAACACTCTTTTCAGGACGCCATATTTGGGCATCTAGCAGCCATAGCCAAGAGTGTGGGCAGAGGGGTTGAGGGGAGAGACAGGCACTCTTGGGCAGCCGCCCTTCCCCCTGTGCCTAGCTCTTCCCCGGTCACGGGATTCTCTGGGAACTTGACAGTCTAACCCTGAGGCTCTTTTGGAAATGGCAGACCTCTTGGTTTGCATTGCCTCTTGGCCACCATAGTTCAGCCACTAGGGAGGTGAGTAGGACTTTTGTGAAATTAATTGCATATATTCACTCTGATCTTTCTGGATGGGACAAGTTATCCATCTCAACCAGCCAATGAAACAATTTCCTAAATTAAGCATCTTTCCAATATCAGTCTATTTCTGTGTTAGTGGCTGGGACTTTCAGGGCAGGCCCCAACAAATGTCGCAGCTCATGGTTAAATGCCATGGCCTGAACTTAATTTATGCTGAGGTAGTAGGGTATGGGAAGTTCACTTTATTAAAGGGAAGTCTGCCATATTTAACTGGCTCAGTTCCTGCATTCCCCGATGTCCCAGGCCCCTGGAAATAGCCAGCCAGATATTCCACCTCCTGCGCCACATACACAACCCCCCAAAATAAGGGAATGATATCTTGGTGCATTTGCCGCTGTTTTATATTTACTTTCTGCCTCAAAGATGGATGTCTGTTCTGCAGTTGTAGGAGTTTGTAACACTGATGACAAAACATCATTTGCAGTTTGGGCTAATCGGCTGTCTTTCTGATGTCGGTCTGTTCCTGCTGGTGACAGGAGACCCCTAGGCATTCTATGGGGTTCTTCTGAAATAAAACTCCCAACAGGAGCTAATACAATGTAATGCAACCTCTGTTATTATAAGGTCCAAGGCTTGTTCGTATATGTAGCATTTCTAGGTACATCAGCATCTGCAGAATTAGGCTAACTTGATGTCCAAGACCGTAACTGAGGTGGTGCACATGGAGAATGGTGGACACCTGAACTCTGAGCCAGCCACATGGGACTCCTTTATATTCAGTGTTTGAAGATGTAGGGCATGCGATTCCAAGAGCTGTACTCCCTTATCGTATCTGAGCATTTTAGCAACACACTGGGTTTTCCACAATTTTTTCAAGCACAAAAATGTTTATTTTTTCTTCTCTTGAATATATACAATTTCCTGGGAGTGAGGGTTGGTGCCACTGACTGTCCATATACAAGGGGCTGAACTATGCAACAGGCAAGAGAGACAAACTGTAGGTTTCAGTGCAAGCTGAGGGGGAATGGTGAAGACAGATTTCCCATATTTTGCTCATAAAGCATACAGACATGAATCTCAAATAAAGTCTCAAACAAAGGAAAGACACATGTTACAGAGAACAGAAATCTCTTACTACAGTCTGCATTTTGCCAAAGCAGAAGACTCGGCACCTTACTCTACAAAATTCAATTCTAATCGAATTGATGGAATAATATAAACTAAATGATACCAACAAAATATTTTGGACAATTCTTAATTCCCAGTTGTAGAACAATGCAAATCACAGACTGGCCATTCTGCCCTTTTGTCAGGGAAGTCAAAATGTCATTGCCAGAAAGAAATTGAGAGAAGAGAGAGTACAGCACTTCTTCAACTTGACTATTGTTAAGGTTTTTTGAGGTGTGCCATTATGCTTGCCGGTGTCTGTCTTATTTCTTCAAGTGGAGTGTTACCAATCTGCACATTAATCTTAATTGTTACCTTGTGCCTTTAGACTAAGAGGTGACAATGCAAAGTCTACATATGAGAGGTGAACCAAATGAAAACAAAACGGCATAAGTCAAGACAGGAAAGAACTGCCTGGTTATCTATAGTGTTGAATTAACGTGTAGGCATTAATTCAAATGTGTGGGTTTTTAACTGAAGTGGGGTAGTAGAAAATAAAGCTTCACATTTAATTTCGTTTCAGTGAGAATACCATGAGCAGTTTAGGGACAAATGCAGTTCTGAACTGAGACCACTGACAAAACAAAGGCAGATGAGATATGAGTCAAATTCTGTACTTACATAGTTCATATAGTAACTTTGGGTTGGGCTCTTGTATAATCAAGATTATGATTAAGCTTATTTCACAGATCAAACATGCATGAATTCATAATTTAACTTAATTATATAATTTGTACAGAATGGGAGGAGAAATGTTGCAGCTAAATGAGGGAGGGAGGCTGTCTGAATTTGCTATTTCAAATGAAAACAGAAGTTGTTACTTGCAACAGTTTTTCCAGAAAAATAATGCATAACAAAGTGAATTGCACTGCCCAAAGCTTTTACCTGCATACATATATATCTTATTTTCAAATGTTTGTAAATGCTGTTATTGTAAAAACAAAGTTACTAATTTTATTACTTCTCATACAAATGAAGACTTCAGTCAGTATGCTCAAGTAATTCACTCTATAAACAAGTAAACCAGCAAATTTACCTTGCCATTTATCCATCACTTAAAATAAAAGCATTTACAGAAAAAAATGAAAAGTGATCGAGAGTTTTAAATGTAAACTATTGATAATATATGTATATATACAGAGAAGAGAGAGAGCGAGAGCGCACAAATAAAAGTAAAAATAATCTCACACAAGCAGTAAATAAAATACACCTTTCCATTATCATCAACATTATCATCATTATTATCATTATTATTATTGTACATCTTTCCAGCCAGAACTGAAAAGCTTGAATTCAAGGCACTATACTCCTGCAGAATTAATACAGTTGTCTTTAACCATCAATTCAAGTACCTCAGCACTGAAGGTTGCACTTTCAAACACCAGAACACAAAATAAAGTGTCTTCGGCAATGGAGGAGAAGCTAGTATCGCCACGGCAACAAACAACAAACAGATCGGTGTGAGAACTTCACCGTGATTGCTTGATGCCGCGCACGGCATTGTGCACGGAGAGCCGGAAGGGAGTGCCGGCAGGTAAGCGCATATACTGCATTTAGGCTCAAACACTGCATCTGCAATTTGGAAATCATCATCCACTACCCAGAGGTGGCAAAACTAGGTTATTCTCACGTTAGGGCCCCGAGGTGGGCTGGCACTGGCAACAGGTTGCTGTAGCGGCACCGGAAAGAGCTGGAAGCTGGCTTTGCCGAGCCCTGGAAACGGCACAACGCTCTGGCCTCCTACAATCCCAGGCTGTACTGTCGAGCCTGCCCAATGCACTCCAAAAGGTGGCGTAGGGAAAGCTCCTCCGTATTGACAAAGAGGCATCACATCATAAGGTTTTACTGTGCCAGAAAGGATTATACCTGGCAGAGGCACTGGCATGGATGCTGACACTCCGGGAGTTAATGCAGGTGGCAATGGGCAAGACACTGGACCAATGCACTTTTTCCCCATTCCTGTTCTTACTGAATTAACCTACAAAGACAAACATAAAAAGCACAGCTATTATGCTTGTACCCTCCTAGCCGAGCAGTGCAATATTCTTTCTGTACAGTTAGCTTTTCCAACATGGCGGTGTCCTGCTCCTGGGGTCTGTGCTAGACTTGCTCCCTCCAGTGGCCGAGACTGTGAATGAGGTGAAAAGATGAGGACCCCTCCCCCCCCGTGTCATTCTAACACAGATCCCTCTGGGTTCGCAGGCACCGAAAAGATTGGTACTGTGCTTCCGCTGGGTTTGAAGTAGTTCAGTTTCGGTTCTCCATCAATAAAAGGGAACTGATAACAGTCGCTGCTTTCCTTAAAGCAACAACAACAACTTTCCCCCAAACTGACTGTTCTCCCCACGCTTAACTCCCTTGAACATCAGCTGGAACATGATGCACCTATGCATGCTGCAAGCAACTCATAGCTAAACCTGAATATATTGATAGGAAAATTTGCATCAAGTGGTTAACTTCTTTTCCCCACCACTTCTTTCGGCTGCTATGCAACTGCATTCTCAGCATCCCTCCAGGAAATTCCTGTAGAAATTTGAGTGAACATGCACACACACATGTACACACACAGCTCTTGCACCAGGTAGTTCAGCTTCAGTGCTCACTGAAAATATCTAGACATTGCAGAGCTGGATGAGAGAAGTATCTTTTATATCCATGGAGAGCAGCTGAATTCTTGAGAATTATGTGCTTAAATATAGATCAAATGACACAAAAGTAATTAGTGTACAAGAGACTGTCTGGTCCCCCCATGAAATTAGTTTGCAGCTTTTAAAAGAACACATCATTTACAAATTTTGGCAATGATTCTATTAAGTTAGCACCAACTCCTGAATAAGGTTTCTTCTGGGCAAAGACCTCACTGACTTCAAGATCAGGATCAAACTGATAACTACACCCAGGAAATGGGATAAAAATATTTAGAACCAGCCAATTAATCGAAGTAAAAAGCTGAAAGGGAGAAAAGGGATCTATATGGGGATACAGAGCTTTGAAAAAACAACTAACAATACCCTGTGCTGTTCTAATTAGAAGTAAGTCCTGTTAAGTCTATTGAGGCCGATCTCCTGCAAGCTGCCTAGAATTGCAGCTTTAGGCTGGACTGGGGGGCTCAGTCAGTGGGGCTTTCTCTCGAGCAGACAAGTGCAGGATGCGGGCTGCTCAGAGAGGCAACTGGGCAATTTGTCTCGGCTTCCCACTAAGCAAGGGACCCCCACCAGAGTTCCTGGGTGCACAGCTGCCGGCTGGACTGGCTCCTGGCACATACGATGGTTGTGTCCAAAGGATTTGGCTCTGGCCGCTCCGCTGCTGGCCGCAGCCCTGGCTCTGGTGCCACCACAGCGCTACATCGCATCAGCCACATGATGGAGAGGGAATCATCCACACCTTAAGTCAAACCAAGAAAGAAAGAATATCCCTTCCTCTCCTAGAACTCCTGCCCCTACCGATTTTAGCAGTTACAGCATCCTTGTATCCTAGCAGTTTCTTATATGCTCGACTTATTGGCAGTCCTAAAGTCAATCTGGGAGAATTTATTTCAAAGAAACTGATGCCCATGTAAATATGCTTACACAGAGCTGGATGGGGCTCTAGCCTTTCTTTCTTGCTGCCGTCTACCACAAAAGTAGACACCTGAACCGATACATTTTAAGACCATTGCATTCCGTCCGTAGGCCTCCCTCCTGGCAGTGCAATGCTCGTTTACTGTTCAATATGTGGGAATTTGACAGAACTGTCTGCCCCTCTTCCACCACAACCCCCACACCTGTTTTCCTTCTTCAGGGTAGGAGAGCTACTATCAGAAAACTCAAGAGGTAGGGAAAGATAAATAGATTAATGACCCCATCGCTTCAGAGAAATCTCCTCTAAATGCGAGTGGGCAGTGGGAATTAGAGGAGAAAGCTAAAGGAAGATTGATTGGGTAGCCAAGCTTCTGAACTTTTATGACATCGCATGCCAATACACCAACGCAAGGCTGATACTAGTTAGTATGGGCAGGAGCCCACAGGTGTCCTCCTCCTGACAGAAAGCATCCATCAACAGCACGGGGAGAGGTGATTTCAGTCATTCCTCATCCACCAGCAGTCCCACCTCCCACACTGTTCTGAAGTGCTCTCCAACCCTCCAGAGCAGACACAGATGAAGTGCCAGAGATGTCAAGGGGGAGGAGGGCTGAACATTGCTCCTGCTGTTTGACTACCAATGGATGCTTTCCATCGGTAGAGGGTGCCCATGTGGATGCCACTCCAATTCCGACTCCCTGCACCAATGGACAAGTCAGGTGACTATTATTATTTTTAATTAATGAATTTAATTGATTTATATACTGCTACAAAAGCCCAGCTTTTCAGGAGACCAGGATCCAGTACTCTTAAGCACCACACCTGCAGCTTATGCCCGCTGATGCAGCTGTCATGGCATTACTGGGTTCAGAATGGGTTGCTGTTGAACCGTGTGTTATTGCTAAAACTTGGGTATCACACACACCCCATAAATATAAAAGCTCTCAATTCAGAAGCTTTTTCAGGAAGCTCAATTTAAGGGAAGGGGAGATGGCCAGGGCTCATGGGGAAGCAGTGCCAGCATTTTATTTTACCTTTAAATTAGCAGGTGGCTGACAGCACCTTCTGCCTACCGTCTAGACTCGGCTGCAATTCTCATAGCAGCTGAAGAGAAACACATTTTACCAACAGCAAAATACTCGTCCTTGTTGTAATGTAAAGCAATCTGGGGAGACTAGGTTTTGACTGGAAAATTAAGAGTCATGGATTTTAGAGAAGTATCTTTTCCTGATGCAGATAAAACTGCTAGAAAGGGTTTGGTGATGTGGATTGACACCGCTGCCTCAGTTCCTGATCTGTTCTTGGGCTGTGGCTACAGGACTGCCATGAGGAACACCAGCACTTCGAAATGTAACACCATGCCACTGATCTCCGCTGATAGGCAGCAGATAGCTAATCAAAGGGGGCAGAAAGAGGCAAGGGAGCGAAAGGTACGAGAAGGCACCAAAGACGAAGGGGAAGAGGGAAAGTATCAAAAAGAATTGTGGGGTTGCGGGGGGGGGGGCAACCAGGAAGTATGGAATGAAATCTGGATCTGGTATTTGTCCTATCTGGAGTCAACTACAGTCCAAGTATCTTTCCATGAATAGGTCTTACACTTTGAAGACAACTTGCAATTATTTTTAAATATTACATACTCACATATTCAAGTATTTTGAAATCCCCTAATTCTCAATGGCATTTGATCAATAAACTTGTCTGAAAACCCAAGGATAACGTTTCTGCATGATTATGGCAAGTTTCGGATACTTTTCTCCTAAAAAGCTTTGCCCCTGCTTATGCTGAATATCATCTATCACTTTGTTTGTCAGTCACCCAGTTTGAAGATATTCTTTGGCAGTTTTCACAGTATATTTAAGGGGCTTTTTTTTTTTAAAAAGAATGTTTATATCCTTAGCCATTTTCTCTTTAAATGCCAGTACATTTCATTTGTCATTGTTTTTCTTCACTTGTTTGTCTCTTCCATTTAACAACACTGGCACCTTTTTGTAGGTTTATTTTTGTCTGATCCTTCTAAGCATGGTATACATTTTATGGGAAATCTTTTCATTTTGTTTTACTCTCCAATCTTCCTAAAGAAAACCAGTGCTTCTAATCCAGGGATGTGCAGTCCATACGCCAGGGTATGTAGTACAGAACCCCATCCCAGAGATCCAAGATAAATGCTAGCAAGGGAACCCCTTTCCTTATTTCCATCCACTGACATTTCCTTTCCTAATGCTAGTACTAGCCAAGGAAAGTTTCATTGGCCTCAAATCTTGGAAGGAAGATAAGCATTGCCTTTCTAGTGCTGGCAGGAAGCCCCGCCTTAAGAGGGACTGTGTCTGGGGGAAGAATAAGCACATGGGTGAGGGTGGCAAATGTGTGTGTGTGTGTGTGGAGATGAGTGGAGTGAGTGCATGCTGGGTAAAGGCACTCTTGGCCACAACTACCACATGGCCTTCCAGAAGCAAAACTGGATTCGACAGCACCCCCAAGCTGCTAATCTGGTCCTTCAGTGGGAGTGCAGCCCAATCCAGAATCACATGTTCCCCCAGATTCCAGACTGCCTTATCTACTGACCGACAGGAACTCAAGTCTTGCCAGGATAGAAAGCCACCACTTTGTCTTCTCACATCCCTCACTGTATCCAGACAGCGGTTCAGGACATCTACATCAGCTGAGAAAAAGAGAGAGGACTGGATCTCACCAGCATAATGATGAGATGCAACCCAGCCTGTGATGTCCATCCCAAGTGGCTTTATTCAAATATTAGAAAGTGTAAGAGACAATACTGAGCCCTGAGAAATCCCATAAATTAACAGCTACAATGCCAGACAATTGTTCCCTCACACCACTTTCTGCTACGAGTCAGCCAAATAGGATCAGAAATGCCACAAACCAGTCTCCGGAGTCTGGTATCAGCCAATTGGCTCACAAGAATACCAAAAGCAGTCCAGAAGAATCAGCAAGAAATCACACCCCTGTTCAGTTTCTAGTATGGGTCATCTACCAAGGTGACCAAAGCTGTTTCTGTCCCCAAATCCAGCCTGAACCCAGAATGGAACAGATCTACATTTCAGTGGCTAAGCATTACTAGAGACCGGACTTATGTCTATCATAAAAGAGAATTTAAGATAATGTTTTCATTAAATGTTTACTACACCTTCAGCATAATTATACTCTCTACTGAATCCCTTCAATTGTTTTAAATGTTTAACTCGTTCCCATCTCCTTTAATTATATTTCTGTATATCGCAATACCTGAAATGATTGGGTGCTTCCCATCACCTATTCCATATACTTAGAAAAATAATTATGAATTTGAAGTGCTACTCAAACATTGCATTATTCACAAAGCAGCAGACAGAAAACACTTGCTGGAGCAAGTACAGACTTTGCGGTCTCCTATTTTCACTTCTTCATTTATCTTTCACCTACACAAACATTCTTACTTCTAGCTAACTAGACTCCAACACAAACAGGCAATCCAGTTTGTTTAACGTATCATCTACTAGTGACTGAAAAAGGGATTTCACTCTAAATGTTGGCTTTACCAATTCTTCATGTCTTACAGTATTTTTATTTGCCTTATCACTCTTTTTGGACAAAATTATTCTGGAATAATAAAAACAAACAATCTACCCCCTTTTTGATAAGGTAATAATTAAGATAGTTTCATTCATTCCAAGACATGGACGACAATCTATTTGCAGTGCAGCTTAAAATGCTATGTTTACCATGTAGTTTTCAAAAAACATTTTAGAACTTGCTGCACACTGGTTAGGGGAGCATGAATGAAAAGTTTGTATGTTATGAGCTGTCACTAAGAGGTACCACTAATTTCCTTTACTGTGTGACAGTTATGTTCCATGCATAGTTTGTGATCCATAAAAAATCTACAAGCTAAAATGCCTTGTAAAGTGACTTCAAAAGCAAAACAGTGTATCTGTGCTGGCCATTCATGCTTCATAGCCAGACTGAGAGGAGGATTGTGCTGTGCTTTATTGTAGGAGTTCTTACTGCAACAGAAGCAAAGAGAAGTGAGTTCCTTTATATCAAAGAAATAAAAATGAGATGTGGGCTAGAATGCCTATTGTGATTTGGATAAACAAATAAAACAGGACAAAAGAATTATCGTAAGCTTTTATGCAACTAATTCAAGAAGAGTCACGAGCTTTTTCAATAATATATACAAAGTTTTGTCTTAGAGAAAGGACAATGCTGAAACCAACAGAATTATTTGTTGAGTAAAAATAATGCAAGTTGAGTAGTGTGTGTAATGTATAGCAAAGACAGGGAAAACTTACTGAAATGGCATGCATGCAGTTCTCATTATTAGCAGAGATTTACCTGCAGAGCCATCAAGTACAAATATATTACTGTTAAAATAGTTGAAGTCTGACCGAAGAAATTATTTCTCCTTCTGGTGCGTTTCTCAGCCCTTTTCTTCTCTTAGGACTGGCTATGAGAATATGAACCCATTGTTTGCAGAAGCTTAGCACCAGCTTTATTAGAATCCTTGTTACATCAGATGAGCAAATGGAATGTGTTTGCTCCACTGCAACTGTTATCCCCAGTTGGCCAGAGGATTAGGCAAGTGCAAGCCAACTTCCTGCATTTAATTATCTCCCTAGAAAGGGAGAGAAAAATGAACACAGGAACATTGCTGGGCTGAGAGGGCTTCGGTGCTCTAAGACCCCATTGTACTATGACAGTGCTTCCTGCATTGATTAGTCCTTCAGCTGAGCTTGTGTTGATACTCCAGCATTGTAACACAAGAATAATTGAATCACACATAATTTCCTCAAGTAATGGAAGCTGTGCAGGCAATTAGGAAAAAAGAATATTCAAGTTGTTTCTGGCAAGTGAGTGCAAAGTGCAATCAACATTGATCTCATTTAGTTTAAGGTATATAAAACGTCTGTTTTTGAAGATAAACTTTTAGCACAGCTTATTACCATTTGCAGCTACCAAGGTGAAAAACCCTCCGAAGCATGACCTGAGATTCTGAAAACTTTTGCGGTTGCTAAGGCGGACTCCCAAAACTCAGTTCCATTCTTTCTGATGCATCCCCTTGATATTACAATCTAATTTTTAAAAACTTGAAGTGTGATGATAATATGAAACTTTAAGTACTAAAATAATGACTTTTTGATAAAAATATTGTAATAGAGAAGTTCAAACATTAAGAGCTTCTTTTTAAGAAAGTGTTAAATATGGTCTATCAATATTCAATTATTTTGATTAAGGACAGATAGTGTTTCCTCATTTACGTTGTTTTTGTTTTCCAGAAACATAATTTTTTCCTGTTTTTGCTGAGTTTTGACTTGTGTTTGCCATTATTCATGCTTATGGCTTTTCAGTCCTTCTAGAAACAAAGGAAGGAAGCAATTGGTCAGGGAAGTCCTCTTGGACCATACATTCTAGCAACACTGCCTGGGTAAAACTTGTAAAGTTTTATACATGAGGCTTATCAGATGCTTCCCCTGCCCTTCAAACATATAAGGCCCTGCTCTCTGTGCATCTCTTCATAGGCGCATAAGCTCCAATGCAGGGCTTGCAGCGTGTGCAAAGAACTGTCTCTGAAGAGAGGCTGCCCATTCTTCTGAATGATCAAGGATGTTCCTCATTCCTACTGTTTATGAAGAACATCCTCGATGTCAAAGAGAATGGGAACAGCACTAGGAGAGTGTGCATGTACGTTGGGAGGCGGGAGCCATGGATCACACCATGGTATTATGGCTTAAAATTTGCATACACCTTTTAACATGAACTTAGAAATACATGGTGGGCGAGATATTAATTGTAAGCACTGCAAATGGATGGGAGTGGCGATGGGAAAATGGTGAGATGACAGAGTGCCCAGCTTTCTCTCTGAACCACATGGCTATCATTATATTAAGCTTTCTGTTAGGATGTATGAAAAATTAGCATGTCTTCGTCTGTGAAGATTTAAAAGAGAACATTCAGGCTGCAATCCAACATACACTTACCTCGGAGTAAGTCCCACTGAACTCAATGGGGTTCACTTCTCAGTAGTAATGTACAGGATTGCAGTGACAGAGGCCCTCTTTCCTTTCTAAAGTTGGCACAACCTTTTACAGAAAAATAGCCTGCCAACAGCTACCAGCAAACCAACTGATGGAAGAAGGTTAGTGATACATTTGAAAAAAAAATGACAGAAATGTCAATGCTGTTTTATCTTGAGACAAGCAACATTTGATGACCAGCGAATGCCCTGCTGTGCATCCATGTATGGTCACAGTTCTCATTTGTAAAAAGTTATGTGGTGAACATACATTGTCAATATCAAGTCCAAGTAGACAAAACTTCTTAAGCTATTTTAGTCATTAAATGAAGTGAAATGGATATTTATATGAAATATACTCTTTTAAGCTTATGTCCGCCAAACATCAGCTCTGCAATGGCTCCCAGACACAAAGGAAAATGCAACACTCTTCAAGGAGTGCCACTTACTCCACACGTCTCATTCTGTGTTTGCATGGCATTAGCCTTTGGCTCCATGTCTTGGCGTTTTTGGTTCTGCTTGAGTTGGTTTAAGGATGGTTTTGCTTGTACAGCTCCCACAGTTTTGCTTGTCCATTGATCCACTAATTTGTGAAGGTCATCCGTGAAAGTTCCTTTCTTGTTGTTACTGTTGTTGGCTTGTACTTGAACCTGTAGTGTTGCTTGCGGTAATGGGTCTGGATAAGCTACAAGACTGTTTGTTGAGGATCCTAGGACATCACAGAAAAAAAAAACACCAATCAGCTGTGTACATTAGCACTGTCACACTACTGTTCCCTTTTGGCTATGTTCGCTCCATTTCACAATCTTCCTCAAACCATAACTATTCATTTTTCATCCAGCTGCATCTTCTGAAGAACATTTTTTGCTTCAAAAATGGCTTTAAAATTTTATATGTAATCCATTGCTTAGAGAAGTACATAGTAAATATATTATTTTCACCCATCAACTGAAAAATATTGAACATGTGCTTTTATTTAAATCTACTTTTTAGAATAGAAAATGGTAGATAAACTTAAGGTAGGGCAGGTGTCAGGGACATACTGCTTGTGCTCTGTAATATCAGCACTGAATTCCCCTTTGACTCTGGATGCAATCCTATACAGCAGCCTTCCTCAACCTGGTGGCCTTCAGAGGCATGTGGACCACAACTCCCAGAATTCTAATCCAACAGGACCACTGACTGGGAATTCTGGGTGTTGCAGTCCAAATGTGTCTGGCAGGCACAAGGTTGGGGAAGGCTGCTATGCTTAGTGAGAATACGTCACATTGAACTCAATGGGACCTACTTCTGTGAAGTCATGCAAGGCTTCCACTGTTCATATCCTAACTCTCAACTGGATTGGGACTTGTAGACTTCCTATCTGTACCACCACACATGCCCCTGATCAGAGGGATTCCAGGTTTGGTCACTTGCATCCCAGGCTGCTAGAGTCACCTTTTTTCTATGCAGAACCCCGATTCTGTATAACGCCTAAATGAAACTGGTAAAAAAGTGCCTTGACAGCCATTCATATCCTCACAGAACTCTCACATTTCTCTTTATGGTCCTTGAGCTCTCGAAAGTGTCAACATGACAACCTTTTTAAGAAAAAGCAACTATGCTTGAGGCACAAGCAGTACTAAAGAATTACACAGAGTGGACACAACCTGGAGGACTGAACTCATGGCATCAGAATGCAGGCAGTCTAACTTGATTATGGCTATGTATAACCTTCTGATATTCTGACACTGGGGCGGGGCAGCTAATGTAGAAATAATCATTCAGACTATGTTGGGACCAAGGTGATAAAATTTCTATTTAAAGCAAGTGAAATAAATCAATTGACTAAAGCCTTTTTCACTTTTTGAAAAATAATGTTTAATTCCCATAATACCAACATCTGAAGCAAAAAAGTTCAAAGCTGTAGTGAAATGACATTATTTATGATGAGCCAATGTACTAAAATGTTATTTCTGCTGCCATGAATTTTCAATAATCATGGTGTGCACTATGAGTAAATCTGCTAGTGATTTTCTCTGTTCACATAAACACTCACACCTTCCTTTAAAAACCTACAGTGCACCCAGCTTCTGTGAATTCTTTTCTTTGGAATAACAAACCAGTGAAAATACAAGTGTCTTTTTCAAGATTCCACCTCAGCAACTATTTAGTACTTCGAGCATCTCAATAGCTGTGAGGAAGTGTTAAGCTGTATTAGTCAACAGCAGCAAACAGTATTGTAAAGAAGCAGTGTTAATTAAAATACTGGGTAAGTACATGACTCAGCTTTGTCTCATCAACACACATATACATACTGGAAACACAATGATCTTGCAACACACTGCATGCGTCCAAAAGCAGCACTAGCATGCAAAGCTACCAACGAGATACCTGCTCTTAATTCGTATGCAGCCTAATTTAAATGCAGCATGAACTGAACGCAAGGCCTGTCGTTTAAATAAACCACTAGATTATATTTAAATAAAGCAGCTCATGCTCAGAAAGTAATATCAAAACGCCAAAAAACAAAAGAGAGAGGGATAGTTACTACTACTGTGATCTTTGCCTAGACATAGTCGTTTCAGAGTGGACCCTACAAGGTAAAATGATACAAGACATACAGAGTTAGGCAAGCCTAAAAGGGGGAAAGAAATAAGCTTGATGGAAAATCTTCTGCATTTTTAAACAATGAAAAAGTAACCATTATGCAAGAAGGAACAGACAGAAAGTCAGCAGTTCAGGTGTGAGAAAAAGAAATAATTGGGCAGCTCAAAGCCTACAGAAATTTGCTTATCAAAATCTACAGAAATTTGCTACTATTAACATAAATACTATGCAGTTTTTATTTGGGACCTATGTGTTTCAGAAAGAAAATTGAAGACTCATTTTTTTAAATCACTGCTTTCAAAATATTTTGATTCCTATTTTATTTGTATCACAAATCTATATTCATGGTGTCAGGCAACTAATGATAAAAAGTAAATTCATGAACAAGCAAAACTAGACTGGTGGCAAAAGAGTTCGTACACAAAATGTATGAGAGAAGAGTTCTGCAGGTCTGAAACCTAAGTGAACATTTGTATCCAAATACAAAACATGGAAACCTTTACAAGGCAATCTTATTATGTAGGTCTATTCAGAATTAAGTTCTATTGAATTCAATGGGGCTAACTTCCTAGTAAATGTGTTTAGGACGGTAGCTTACCATGCAATCCTAGGCATGTTTAAGCAAACATCCTAAACAAATCCTATAACTCCCAGTATTCCTACACCAACATTAATATTATGGAAATTCAAGTGGGCCCTTGTAACTGTATTGTGGTATTTCAACTTTATCAGTTCATTTTGTTTGCTAAGATGCTATAATAAATTATGCGACATACTAATCACATGCTATGGTGCATAGAATATGGTTGCGTTTAAGACACAACTCCTCTAACAAAGATCCATAAATGAGCTCTATTTATTATCGTTCCCTTCAAAAGAGCATTTTTTGTGCAAATGTTTGAATTTTGTATTTTATTCTACAACTCTTGAAAGGACCCAAAACTTTCTGGCCTTAAGAATAAAGAATCAGGGTTAAAATCCCAACAATGTTAATTAGGTTGTGTTTGTTACTTCCTGATTCCACAGGGAGCCAAACCACCCAATAAACCTTACCTCACTATGCCCCATGCTGCTGGAAATTAGAAGAAGCCCTTATCATATATGCTTCTCAGTGATAGAAAAAAATAATCAGCATTTGTTAATCATGAAGCAGTCCCAGCAAATGGGAATCAGAGACTCCATAAACTAGTGTACGCAAACAAAGAATTTTGTTTAGTATCCAAAAGATAAAACCAGGCAAAGATTACTCCATGTCTGCTGATATGGCCATAAAGGTAGGACTAGAAATGGCCTGCAAATATAAGCAAGAAATAGTATTTCTGCTTTAGGTATGATATCTGAGGTTAGGGTTAAATGTAGCCTCTAGCCCTCCACCACCTGACCTTGGTAAAAAGAGGGGTTTTTGAACATTATGGGAATGTGAGAAATACAAAATAAACATAGAGCCAGTATAGCATGGTGATCAGAGGGATTTCAAGTTCTGAAAATTCCCACTCAGCCATGAAGCTCACTGGGTGACTCTGGGCCAGTCATGGACTCTCAGCCCAACCTTCCTCACCGGGTGGTGGTGGTTTTGGATGATAAAAAGCAGCTACTTAAGCCACTATGGACTCCTCCCAAGAAGAAAATAGGTGGGATATAAATAAAATGTAACAACTGTAATTATGAGACTAATAGTGATTCTCTCCCTCTGAAAAGTAACATCTTAATTGTCTGTCCAGCAGCCTTTCAAACAGGGCTTGAAGTAAAAAAAAAAATGAATCAGAATGACACCAAATTTATTTCTTCCCCATGCACAGCTATTATGAAGACCTTTCTTATGAACATTTTCCCATTTTCCTTTGGTGACTATATGTAAAAATTACTTATTTTCAAGATAAAGAGCATTCACTGTATGAGAAAAGCTCTTCTAGTTATGCATTTACAATTGAATTGCAGTTTGAATGACTAGATAAATACGAAGGCTAATTTGTCACGCTTGATCTTATGCATCCAATTTGTAAAATCCAGGCTTTATAAGGGAACATTGCACCTTAAATGTGTTTTAACTGTGGTCAAGACATACAAGTAATTTTGATTTGAACTTTATGACTCAGAGGAGTTATTACTTAGGCAATGGATACACATTTTAAAAGTATCTGTCATCTTTTTACAACAACAATCTTCAGTGATTATTCCAACTGCCAAAATAGGTATTTTCTAGAAATGATGGGATTCAATGAACTACTTGCTTCCACTTGACAGGCAGCCTTTGAAATTCTCTTGCTTAGGATCTTATTCCCTTCAGAGATGTTTATAACCAGCAAGGAGAGTAAAGGCCAACATTTCTGCTGATGGCTCAGAGAGCAACAAATACTCTATCCCAGTAAAATGCAAAGAAAAAGGCATGCCATGCAGAAAAGCCCCTAGAATGGGAGGAGGAACGCTTCAAAATTCAAGCCTTCTAGGGCTTTCTTCTTGCAGATATTAATAAGACATATTTCATATTTAAAAATATAAAGGGGCCTTCAAAATCTTATCACTATATGCTAAGTATGAACTTATCTATAAGTAGATAAAATTACTAGTTTTAGGAATACAAAAACTTCTTTGTTCTTCTTCTTACAGTGATTAAGATTTAAAAATAAAAATTGTGCATATAACAACTATATAGAAAAGAAATGGACGGATTCTGACTACTTGTGACTGCAGAAAAAGCTACAGCTGCAGCCAGAATACAAACAAAAATAACTACATAGAGATCATTTAAAGAATATCTCTAGTTTTTGAAATTATTATTCAAGTTTAATATAGTTCACGCCACATGGTAACCTGTATTATCAGTTCTCAACTGCTGTTTATAATTACAGTTTAGTGGAGTTTAAAGAAAAATAATTATTTGAAAAGCAAGGATGATAAATTTTAAGTAGTCTTGTGCCTTTGATCTGTACCTCAAAAATGAGAAAAATGCATACTTCCAATGGTAAAAATTTGATACAAATGAAAATGAACATTTAATTAGCTAAATGTTAACCCTATTTTGGGCATTAGAAGGAACTGTGGCCTGGATTACCTTACTAGTGCACAGTATTTTTATTGTACAAAGAAAGTCTATTTGCCTTATAATATGCACATGTCTTCTTTTAAAAAAATACTTGAGAGTTGGTTGAAGTGCCAATTAATGCGATCATACAATTAAGGAAACATCTATTTGTATTTCATTGGACAGTTATTTGGAATCAACCTGGACATTATATCAATAATCCATTCCAGAGTAGCACTGGCATTTTAAAGCTTAAAATGTATTTTCTGCTTTAATGAACTGCTTGTTGACTTCATCTCTGAGGTCATGAAAGGTTATAATAAAAATAAACTGAGTAAAGTGCTCCAGCTAGTAAGCTTATAGTAAAAGCAAAAGTGTACTGTGTAACAGAGTAAGCACACAGTTGCATTTAACAGAATTTTATTAAAGTAACCCAAAGTATTTTTTTTATGTGTGCATGTGTGTGGTAGGGAAATACTACCTAGAAAAAATATCATTATAGAACTAGCAGGAGCATTTCTCAGCATTTCCACATGCAAGGTATAGGAGAATAATAAGAATAATAACAACAACAATAAAGTGGATATAAACAGTACTGTATATTGTTTGAATACAGCCCTTGTGAGGATGTTATACCCTTCAGTGACCTTCTAGATTTGAATCAGCTTGCTACATGCATGTCTTCATAGTCCAAACATGTGTGAAAGAGACCATTCGTCTACAGAACGTTGGGTTTCTTTTTGATATCGCTGGAACCAGGACAGCAGACATTTATAATTGTTACATTGTAAATTAAAATTTACTTAAACGTAAAATCACATAAAGATACGTCCAGGGTAAAATTTACCACAAGGTGATAGAATAAATTATGAGATCTTCCACACATGCTTTTGGTACCCAGGCATGAGCCAAAAGCAGTGCATACAAGCTTTAATATGAAAGAAAAATAAATAAAAAATAAGGAGTGCCAATGATGATTAATTTTTTAACAAAGGAAATCAAAGGAATTGTCTAGAAAGTGGGGAGGGGGCTTCCTGCCAAACGTATTAGATTTATATGAAAATGAGTTTTGGAAAAGGGGGACAAAAGAAAGATGGGCTGTGATAAAATACAAAAGAACAAATACAAACAGATGGACAAAGACACAGGTCCACTGAGGAATCTGGTACGAGGTTTGCTACTAGATTTATAGGTCACTCTCTCAGACGTTTGGTGGAAAACCGTCCAGCCTGCAAATGAATATAAAGGGAAGAAAACAAAGACACTTATAAAGTACAAATAGCTGTGATCAGTTGTCACCATCAGTCATATCAGCTTTGTTAGTTTATCATCCACATCTCCATTTTAGCCTTGCCAAAGAGGAGTAAGTTCATTGGCTATATGCAAAAGGGTGCAAAAACAACAGCAGAAGAAAATAGATACTTTATGGGATTAGTTTGGCAGGACATGCAGAACTGTGTATGAATGATATTGGTTTTAATCATCATTACACTTTGCAACAGATATTTCTACATATTATGGTAAAACTACAAAGTTATACACTGAAATATTGCAATGCTACAACTATATAAAACAGTATCTAAAAGACTAGTAAAGCCAGGAACCATAAGACCTTGCAAGATGGTAGAAGCTGAACTGATCCCAAAACATATTTTGGGGCCAGTATGAAAGAATGCCTTAGGGACAAATTTCTGCAACAGGAACACAGGGTTTGGACTTAAGTCTATGAACCAAAAAAAGTAAGGCAGCCTTTCTTGCTACAAAATAAATTCACTCGACAAAGGCCCATTACCTCTTCCTTCCTTCCTTCCTTCCTTCCGTCCTTCCTTCCTTCCTTCCTTCCTTCAGGTGTTCCATTCCCTCACAACTAGTAATTCGTACATAGTATGAATTTAGGACAAATAGTATCTTCCTCTTGATTCACACTTTGCCATTCTAATTTCAAAGGCACATTAATGACTCAGGCCTCTGCATATTTCATGATTACTGAAGACCCCATTAGAAATATTTTTTATCATCACTACAGCTAACACCCTTTCTTTTTTCCCTCACATTTATAATTTCAACAGCCCTGTAACACCGATTAGGCTGAGAAACACTTTTTCAAGTCAATGTGCTGAGCAGGTAAGTGAACCTGCAACTCCAATTTCCAAAGTTTACTTTCAATTTTGAAATATTAATTTCAGCACAGAATGAATGATGACCCTAAGTATATAGAATCACCTTGGCCAGCATTTCCATGGGCATCGCCTCCTTCAGTAGCTAATCCAGAGCAGATGTCAGAAGACAAGGAAGCCTTGACAGAGCAGGGCTGCTGTGTCTGAACTGACTTTCCAAGTATGGCTGATGTGGATGAAGTGAGTGTTGTTGCTTCAGCAGAACCAGTCTGACCTTTAGTGCTTTCTGTAGCCAAAGAGTCTTTGCAGTCTGACACATTGCCTAAACGGGATACATGCGAGAATCACTAACTGCACAGAAATAAGTTGAGGTTCAACTATCTTGCTCATTACTAAGAGAGCTTCAAATATCTTGAAGAAATGGAAGGAACACAGAACTGGATAAAGTTTCCAGCTGAAAACTACACACACAGCCAGGTGACTTTGTACCTATGCATGGAGGAAGGATCACATACATAACTGAGTCTTTCTCTTCCCTCTGGGCATAGTGTTCTTTAAAGCTTTTGGTAGGAAGTAATAGAGAATAGGAATTCAGAATTAACATAAACATCACTGTGTTATTATTATGATAAAAATGATAAGTAATGTACAACAGAGGAAGATAGTCCTCACACCTCAACTTCAATGTGACAGCTATTCAGGGAAAGAAAGATATGAGACATTGTGATAAGTTTGACTCTCACCCCACTTGTCTGGAGAATTGAATTTAGAACACACAGTGGGTTGGATTCAGCCCAAGTCTCCTGCAAGTGGAAAGGAGGAGCAGGTGATCTTCACCAATTCCCCCCTCCACCCCACTCTAGCCCCATATGGTTCATCCCCAATGTGCTCCAGAGAGTTGGGGGACTTTTCCTCCAGGGACAGTGTCCCACCACCAAGAAGGCTCTGGCTTTGGTAGTCACCTCCTTTATTTCAGATGGGACGGGCACCCTTCAATGAAGACAGGTAGGAACAGATGGAGATGGGTGATACCGCAATTAGAATGGCCACTTAAGAGGACATGCATCATCATAAAAAGATAGCAATTTGAATTATATGTATATATGCTAATGGATGGAAACAAATTATTATAATTTAAATAGAAACACAGCACTTCTAACCATAGTGTGGAAGACTGTAACTAGGTGTTTGGATATGTCTCTGTTCAGTCTGCTATCAGATGCTAACTGTTGATGGAGAAATGTTCTCATAGCTTGTTTATCTTTTAAGCAGAATTGGACTGAACAGTCCTTCAAATAGAGGGCCAACCCCTGTAAAATTTATTTATTTATTTAAAGCATTTTTTTTATGCCACCCCCATTGCAGAAAGCCTTGGGGCAGCTTACAAAGAGAATAAACAAACATAGGATAGACATTAAAAATTCGGAGCATCTCGGCAATAGTTTAAAACTAATAGATAAAAACAATTAACAATTAAAATATCATTTATATAAAAAGGTCTTGGCCTGGCACCGAAAAACAAATAACGACGGCGCCAGGTGGACGTCTCTGGGGAGCGCATTCCATAGGTGGGGCGCCACCGCAGAGAAGGCCCTCCTCCGGGTACTCACCCTCCTAATATCCTTCACAGAGGGCTCCTGGAGAAGAGCCTCCTCCACCGATCTCAGGGGGCAGGAGGGCATAAAAGAGGACACATGGCCATTAAACTGGCAAATACCCTAGTTCTAAACTTATATTGCTATGGGATCAGAGAAGCTTGCAAGAAGGCAGTTAGCTGTCCTTCCTTCCAATGGCATGGGAATGAAGGGTATCTTCGTGGTCAGCTGGGCCTTCTTCCTACTCAGATAAGCCTACTGTCAGTGAATGGATGTTCACTCTGACCTTGGCAGAAGTAATGCCAATGATGCATGACCAGAAGAGCTTAATTACAGGCCCAATGTAAGGAGATTTGGAGGCTTAAGCTATAGGTAACTGGATGGATTGGTCTACTTTCAAGGAAATTCTTTTTTTTTTTAAAGGGGTTTCTGCTGACCTGCTAATCCTCTGTTGGTAAGCTTGTCTTTCTTTTTACCATGCCCTTTATCTCTTACCACAGAAACCAAGTACAAGCTGAGTCTTTTGGGCAACAGCTGGAAATTCACCTGGGCAACGAGTGTACTGCCATTTATGAGCTACAGCAAAAGGAGATGAACTAGGAATCAAGCCATTCCAAAGGCCCCATTGGAAGGCTGGATCCATCAGGTTCCTCCTGCTCTCTCTGAACCTCTTCCATCTGGTCATTATAAGAACTACTGTTTATGAATTAGTGCCTCAGTTTGTTTTTCTGCCTCTCCCTTCCCCACCACTTGTTCCTTTTGCATTCTATCGTTTAGAATGCAAATATACAGACAGGAACTATGCTGTTTTTGGTTACTGTATGTAAGTGCCCTTTGGGCTGCAGAACAAGGTTAAAGTGCTTTCAATAAATTAAGTGAGCTAATAATGAAGTTTAGAGGTCACAGGACACAATGGGAACTATTACCCTTGGTGCCTCACAAGGAGATGCTTGAGTATTGGGACTTCCGGTTGAGGTCGCAGTGAGATCGGCAGCGAAGAACGGAAGCTCCGTACTTCGTGCCGAAATCCATTCTACAGTGGGCCTTGGGAGGCCCATCCAAGCCCTGTCAGGGCCGGGATTAAAGCTCAAGCATAATTCTGGTTTGTGGGGGGGGGACCCTCCACCTGCCGGGAGAAGCTCGTGGATTCTCAGGGAACGAAACGAGAGGGGTGCTCCTCACTAGCTGTTGGCACCGGCTAAACAGCAAAGAAAGAAGACTTAAAAGTGGACATCGGACCTGCTGGGTGAGCAAATATCCTTTTTAAAAATACTGCCCTTAAAAAAACTTGTGGAACAAGCACCAATTTGAATAAAAGCCCTTTTCGACAGAGGAGGGAAAATCCCCCCCCTCTCTGTGGACTCTAAGCGGCAACAAACCTAGGGGAGATTAAGTAAAATGGGAAATTTGACATTTGTAAGAGAAGAGATTTTTTTTTCTGTTTAATCTCCCCAAGGGCGAAGAATCAAATTTGAACTTACTGTACATCAATCGGAAGAAGATTCTTGAGTATTGTTCACCTGAGCAAAGTTATGATATATAGATCTATGCAGATGTTCTACAGAGAGTTTTCCACCCCCTAAAGGACCATTTAAGGAATGCAATTACAATTTAAGTAATGCTAAGGTGCTCATGGATTCATCATTGTCACTAGAAGCACAAAAGGCCTCTGTGGCTTGGAGCACAACCACCTGGGCTGGTATGCCAGCCAGAGCCCCCACACCCCACCCCAGGCAGAGATGGGCAAGTATCAGTGATCCACGCAAAGTCTCGTGCGTGCACTGTCCAAGAAAACAGGCTGGAGGGGTCAGTTGGCCCATAATGTGGCTGTGCTGGCTCGAGCAAGGTTTTCTGAAGATATGTCAGTGCTGCATCATCTGTGCTGGCTTTCCGTGTGGCCCATTCTGAAGTTGTGGTTTGAAGTTCTAGAACTTTTCACAAGGTGAGATCTCAGCGACTCTGCTGAGCCATATGCCTGTAACCGCACTGAGAGGGATCATGCCTCTGCCTAGACCCAGCTATATACAGGCAGAAAAGCATTACTGTTCAATCTAGTCACTGGCTTACACCTGGAAGCATGGCTTTTTCAAGGTTTCATGATGCTGTTGTTGTGCCAGTGTTTACTGCTTCAACACTGAATTTCCATTTTTATTTCATCAATAGAAAAAATGCTAAAGGCACATGTAACCAAAGCCATCCTAACAGCTCTTCTCCCTATTTACTGGTATAATGATAATAATAGTCCCTGAGAAAATAGTCCACAATTTCACAATTTGAATTCTTGAAGCAGTGTGATAGGACTAGCACAGACTCATTACTATCACATACTATCAGAAAAATAATAACCAAACAACATCACTGGGGGAGTTACTGTGGGAGACAGTTTTGTATCTGCTGAAACATACTTGTGTTGGTTGATGTTGTTTTGAGCTGCTGAACAACAGGGTTTAATAACTTTCCCGTTTTTAATTTGTTCTTGCTGGTTCTTCTTCGACGGCCACTTGGTGGGGCAGAATGAAGGAATCCGACATTCGGTGGTAAAGGTTTTCCAAGACGAATGTACAGAGCTTCTATTTCTTTCTTCTGCTGAGATTGCAGCTCAGCAATTTCTTTCATGTGTCTGATTAATAAAAGTGAAAGCAGGTTTAGTTTATGTCAAATTTAAATGCTTCTTAAATTAAAACATCTGCATTTGGAAACATACATTCTGTATCTCATTTATATATATTATGCCTATCTTCTCAAGGGAACTTGTGTGATTTTGTCACGAATTGCTGTGATTGAACAACAGATCAAATGTGGGAGGCAAGCAACAGTAAGAGAGAGAGAGAGAGAAGTAAAATAATAATTAAAAAAGCCAAGATTTCATGTTTATTCAACAGTGTTGATAGTGATGTTGCCATGAATAAGGACAGTGAACGATAAAAGGAGGGATTAAAAGCAAAGACAGGCATTTCAGACTTAGACTTATTAAGTCAGGGACTAAAATATAGTGTCCAGATAAAAATATCAGAAAAATACTCAGAGATGTGAGATTGGATAGAAGGAGAAAGTTCTGGAGAGAAAGATAGCTGGATGATATCCGTGTATGTTGTAAGCCGCCCCGAGGCTTCGGCGAATGGGGCGGCATAAAAATGTTTTAATAAATAAAATAAATAAATAAAATGTATAGCTGTACTGAAAACCATGAGACAAGATGAATCTGCCCAGGGACAGTGCGTGGGTAGGAAATGGCAAAGGACAAACAACAGTGTCCTGAGAAACCACAACAGAAAGAAGAATGCCTTCCCTGTAAGGAAACAAAGAGGGTTTCAACAAGCATGAAAAATGGACAGGGTCATAAAACAAGCTAAGCAAGAGAGAAAAAACAGTGACAACAGTCTTGTACACCTTAAAGACTGCCTCATTTAGAAAGCTTGGGGACTTAGCAGAGACTACTGGATTTTCCATAAGAACATTGGAACAACCATGCTGGATCAGAGTGAGGGTCTGTTTGATTCAACATTCTGTTCACACAGTGGCCAAACAGTTACCCATGGGCAAATCATTTATTTATTTATTTTATAAGATTCCTATCTCATCCTTTTTCTTAAAAAAAGAAAAAAAAAAACTCCCATTGTTCTTCTGCTGCTCTCCATCTTATCTCCACAACAACCCTGTTAGGTAGATTGGGCAGAGAGTCTGTGACTGGCCCAAAGTCACTCAGTTGGCTCCATGGCCAAGTGGGGACCAGAACCCAGATTGTCTGAGTCCCAGACCTGCACTCTTAACCACTACACCACACTGGTATGACCTCAATAGAACTGCACCCCAGCAGTTAGTGTACATGCGTATATGGCCTGTGGTGGCCATACAGTATTCTAAGCCTGGTCAGAGCACAGGTTTATAGAAGAGGAGTATGATCATAGCAGTTTTATTTTCAATTCCTTTCCTAATTATGCACAATAGCAATAGTTGTCTTTTTTACAGCTGCCACACTGGGTTGAAATTTTCATCAAGCTGTCCCCCACAGCTCCAAGATGTCTTTCTTGATGACTAACTGCTAGCTCAGATCCCATTGCCTTATGCTTGGAAGTAGGATTTTGGGCTCCAGTGTGCATCCATTTATACTTGCTTGCACTGAAATGCATTTGCTATTTTGATGCTTATTTTCCCAGTCTGGAGAGATCCATCTGGACCACCTCTCAATACCTTCTTTGCTTAACCACCCTAAGCTGGTGTCATTAGCAAACTTGGCCACCTCACTGCTCATTGCTAATTCCAGACCATCATCAATAAACTGAAAAACACTGGTCCCAATACAGATGCCTGTCAGACTCCACTGTGTCTACGGATGTCTCCTCTGAGAAAATTAACCATTCATTATTTCACTTCTTTTTTAAGCAGCTACTGATCCAAGTGGACCTCTCCTCTTATTGCGTGATGCTGAGTTTGCTCAGGAGACTTTGGTGATAGATTTTGCCAAAATCCTTTTGACCTTTGGAAGTCCAAGTAAACAATGTCTACTCCTGGCTCATTCATATCCACATATTTACTGACACTCCCCAAAAATTCTAATAGGTTAGTGATTTTCTACTGAGAAGAAAAATGGTGATTTTGCTGTGACCACTATTATTGGAGTGCTATTGCTAGGAGATCAAGAACAAACCTGGAGAAAAAGAAAGAAAGGCAGTAAAAGTTATGATTCCAGAAGTCTTCAGGAGCTTGGGGGGAAATTGAGTCATATTTGGAGATGGCAGATGCACTGAGAGATAGATTTGTTTTTAAGTGTAGCAGAAATAGTCTCATATTTTGAATGCAGCAGGGAAGAATCAAAATAAGAGATTGGATGTTAACATGGTGGAGAAGCAAAACAAGGGGCGGACAGCTACCAGCAGCTAAGGGAAGATAAAATTAAAGGGACAGATGGAAACACATGAAGAAAACAGGACAGTCAACTCACCAACTGAGATAGGGGAAAAAAAGAAGGGTTTTGTGGAGGTGTAGAGAGAGAGAAAGGGACTAGGATGGAAATGACTGACTGACTGACTGATTCATATTATCCAGTGAATAATACAGTGGATAGAACCAAAATATTTCAGGTAAAAATGCCATTCACTTGCACACATAAAACAGCTATACAAATATTTATCTTAATGAAGCAAAAATGTAAATAAAAAGTATTAATCAACTAAATGACAACTGTCAACAAATATAAAATCTTGCTCTACTTCATATACTGGAGACTAAAAATCTAAAATCTGACTGATAACCCATTCAGATATTCACATTTTATTCATGTGCATATTTGCAAAGTTTCACTTGATACAATATAGACATAGCAGTGAAATGGTGCACTTTATTATTGGATCAAGACTGCAGTATCACTTTTCTCAGGCCATTAGATATAAGCATAGTAAAACTGAGACTACACAGACTGTACCTTTACAGAGGCTACACCTCCACATAAGTTCTATCTCCATATAAAAACTTTTTCTGCAGATGAAAAATGAGATGTCAGAGAGAATGTGGGTGAGAGTTATCATCTGATCCGCCCATCAACTTCAGTCTAAAGTAGTACACTGAGTTGTCACCTCAGGGAGAATTAAGAGCAGAAAGGTATTTATATGGAATATCTAGCCAACTGATGATAAATATACACATAGAAGGGAAAAACAAATGATGTGAAAATATAGCTAGAAAAATTGCACAGATATAAGCTTACAAAATGACTTTCACATCTGGATGAAAATGGAACATACTTTTCTCTCAGGTTCTGCAATTCTTTCTTCATATCTGCATCTTCAAACTCAGAGTCATTGTCACTGCTAACATATGATGACTGCGAGTGGAAAGAAGTTATGTTAATAGTTGGGATTTTTGATGCATGACCATTAGGGGAATCAAGGCCTTGAGAACTGGACTTGACAGACTTTTGCAGAAAAGGTGAGGTCCTTTTTGTATGGTCATTTCCTGCACTACTGAGTTGAGGCGATACTGGAGCTGCAGCTGGTTTCCTCTGAAGAGATTCATCTTCAGAATCACTAGAATCATGACCACAAAGCACATCAATCGAGGATGCTGTCTGTACGCGCCGCAAAGTTGTCTTCGCATCAGGACTAGAAGGCTGATCATCCAGATAAACATCTGGTGGTGCAGAGTATCTTAAGGAATGGACAGATGGTAAAGTTAACTCATCCTGGGTGCTGATCACTGAAAATCTACCAATAGTTTTTGCTGGTGTACTGTTCAGCATCTCAGCTTGTTTCACACTAATGCCAGAGTCTACAGAGTCATCTTCTTGAGATTTCTTTTTCTCTTTGAAAGTTATAATACTTTCCTTTTCATTCCTCTTAGAAGCATCTATCTGGTCAGCTACATTTGATGATGCAGAAGTGACCTGCAGCAACAAATAAAAAAACAGTCTAGCTGAGAATACACCACCATCTTAGCACGTATCTTCTTGCAGGAATTAACAGTAGCCTTCATTAATTCCAGTTGCTGGAGGAATAAGATAAAAACATAGAAAGAAAAATAGAACAGCAGTACATGGTAAGTTCACAATACCTGAGGGAGTTCTGATGGTACGGCAACAGAAGCTGAAGTAATATTTGCAGCTTGACCTGTTTAAGACATCAGAAACAAAAATGAATACACATCTGGATACATAGATTTTAGAATAAAGCTTAATATAATGAATCTTCATTTATCTTTCCAGTGGAATCTGTCTGATTCCATTATTCACTGATTACTTAGAAGATTGTAACTGCAGTATCAAAGTGACACAACTATGTGCAGATCTACCTGAATCAAATGTAAATTACAACGGCTGATGCAAGTCCTGAAACTGTCACATTATGCATGCTGTGAATAGTCTGACACATATTTAGTGCAATGAATCGAGTTTCACACATCATGCATCTGTTGAATTTAGTGAAAAATATTAAGGAGGCCTACAATGAATTTCTAGAATGGACCCAATTATAGAATGGGCCAATTCTGACAACTCAATTTCTAAACTAATTTACACCCGTATTTGGGACTTAAAAAGGAATCCTAAGGGAGCCATACTGGGAGTGAGACAGCAGAGACTGGCCTACCCATAAGGAGTGCATGGCCAGCTACAGAGTTTGACAGGCATCCATGTATCTTTTGCATCTTCCTCAGCATCTTACAGATGTGTATTAAGTTGCAAAGATCTGACACACTTAAACTTGAATTACACCCCCCCTGCCAGATCTATGTGGAATACTAATCAAAGAATTTGAATCAATGTACCCTGGATTTTTCATACATAGACCTTAGGCAAATCAGAAACTGAAGTGTGGCTTAAAGAAAGGGAAGGAGAAATATTCATGGTGGTGTTGATGCCTTCTGTCACTCTGCCAAATTACCTGCAGCATTCCTTGTACAAGGAAGGGGTGGGAACAGACTGGGTTTGGGATTTAGAGGAAGCACTGGTGACAGGTCCGTGCTTTGTGTTTCTACTTTTGGTCTTCTACTGTAGTGCTTACACTTAAGAACAGAGTATTATGTTGGCCGCAACTGGTCACACATTCTGAACAGTTCCTTTCGCATAACAGTCAGACACTTGCAGTATGTACATTACTTAGTTTGGCAACTGGAAACAGATATCCTTTTAAAGGGGTCTGAGACAGCTTTCTCCAATCTGGCACTCTCCAGATGTGCTGGACTTCCCCTGGTTAGGAATTATGGGAGTTGTAGTTCAACATATTGGGGGTGTCAACCTTAGCAGTACTCACAGATTTTAAAGCATTTAGGAGCACTAACACTTGTATCTTCCTTGGCTCCTTTTAACACATTGATACAAGTATTTGAAAGTATTGTTTACTTGACAGGTGATGTTTGATTTGTCAAAAATAAAAGATCACAAAAGGGGAGTGGCATTTTTGCACAGAATGGTTGGTGAGATTGATTGTACGAAGTTTCCGTCATATAAAAACATAGAGATGCATGCAAAGAACAACATAGGCTGCTGTAACCTCCTGCTGCCATTCTCAGGAAATGATCTTCTTCTCTGTCTGCTGCTACCACTGCTGGCCACACGTGCAGAGAAGGGGCAGCAAGTGGGCACACCAGTGCCATTCCTGGTGTCCAACCTTCTTTTCTGCTTGTTGCAACCAGAGAATGGCACTGCCTGCATTGTGCATGGGACTTGGTTCCTGGCAAGTGCTCCTTAAAAACTAGGAGCACGTACCAGGTATTTGGACTCGGCCATGGCAAAGCTGACTGGAGTCCAGGAAGACGAAACTATGAAATCTGATGGATTTTCCTGCACAAAATGGATACCTTGCATATCTGTGGATCTTCTGGGTACACTGAAGTTTAACAACTGAATAAGGTGCTTGCATGTAAAATCCAAAGCATATGGTTAAATGACATGATCTCCCCATGTTTGGCACCATGTCTTAAAATGTGGAGATATACTCATATATCCCCTTACATTAACCAGAAGTACTTACACATAAATAAAGGCAAGATATTCAATTTTCTGTTGAAGATGTCAGATTCTGCAGTAGAAACCATATGACCAGTTACATGGTTCAATTACACAAGCTGTGATTCCAAGATTTCCTAATAATAACCATTATAAAACCATCAAGAATATTAGTTGGTCAAAGGAAGACAAATAATAAAGTTGTTTTGCAGTTTGCTACCTGCTCTGCTTGTTGGCCCATGGCTTATCTTTGAAGGCTGGATACCAGTACCAGTAATTTCTGATTTTTGCACCTAAAAGTGAAAGGACCAATATATAAATTAAATATTTCAAGACCAAGTGAAATGTTTTTATGTATATATGCAAAGGCTTTCTAGCTTAAGATATATTTTCTCTTCAAATGAAGTCAATTTGCATTTCTCCTTTTCTCAGGCTCCAAATTACCTTTTCTTAGATAACAGAAGTTGGCAAACGGTGGCAAATGGTTAAAGTCCATTTTTTCTTAGGCATAAGCATGACATAAAGAGGTACAGAACATTCATGTGCATATTTACATTTCAGCAAATTCTGACAGAAAGGAAATTTGATTCTGAAAATTCCTGAGCTCAGAAAATTGAGATTAATCCAGAAAATTGAGATTAGGCCTTTTAATCTTTGGCCCATTTTTGGGTATACACCTGAGAAAAAAAAGGTATTTTATATGGCTATGGTACTTGTACTTGTGAGGCAGCATGCTACAGTCCTAGGATATTGCCCTCCACAGCTGGTAGCATGACATATTCTGACCATGGCCAAAAAATTGTGTCCAAGCATTATAATTGCTTTCTTGAACAAATTTCCCTGCTAGTCCAAACCATGGTTCAAGACAATGGTCCATCTCGCACATCATGGCAAGAATCCTGCTTGACTAACACTGAAGTTCATTATGGGGCTGGTTGCCCCTTTCTCTTTTTCTGTCCCTTTGATCCTCCAGACCCCCTGGCAGGAGAGAGTTATCTCTCCCTTCCCACCAGGATTGAAAGCTGCAGCTCCCTATGGATGTGGAATACTTGAAATCTAAGAAAGGATTTGAACCTTGTTTTCCAGTGCCAGGACGCAGAGGCAACCTTTATAATCTGGTTCTAAAGCTTTGGTGAGCAGCCAGTACAAGTCATCACGGGTACAATGGGTCATCTATGGGGAAGGAATATGTAAACCTGCGAATAGCTCCTGATCCCTTAACAAAGTTGAAGAACTTGGAAGTGATGTCACGGCACATAGGAAAGGTGTCTCGACAGCACCTAAAGCATCCCATCTGCCACCACATGGGAACGTGCACTACTAGAAGCCTTTATAGCACAGCTTTACCTGTAGCACAGACACTGCATCCCTACTCGTGTCTTCTTTGCAGCAGATGGCAGACGCATGAACCACCCAGGCACTACTTCCTGGAAGCAACTTAGCAACAGTCTTTATGGACTGCCTGTATGCTTTTATATTTAAAACAGAAGTACATTTTTGAAATTGTCAGGGGAAGTGCAAGATCTCTTCACCCAAGCAAGTACCTAAGTTGCCAACATCTCACTACATTTGATAGGTGCCATTTTATATATTGTATCTATCAGCCTTCCTAAAGGATACAGAAATGTGTGTTTATATGTAAGCCATACCACACGTTGCACTATATAACATGTGCAGAAAGATGCATTTGCAGTAGCAGCATTCAACGTGTGTTCCTGCTGTTAGCCAAATGAATGTTGAGGTCTATTATGTTTTCTGCAGTGCAGGAAGCCAGCATGTATGGGATTCTTCCCACAAATGAGTTCCATGTGGCTTCCATGGAAAAACAATTTTAGAAATCTAGTCTTGCAACACGGCTGTTCACTCTTTACCAACCCTCAACTTCTTCCTTGGGAAAGAATAGGAGCAGGTCTCTGACTTGCACATACTCCCCTATTTCCTCACCACAAGGAAAAGTTAAGTGGAAATTGCTTTATCGTGAACCCTGGGAGACAGAGTCCACTAGAAGGGCAGGATACTTATAGCAAAGTCAAAAGAGAAGAAAGTACATTCAAATACGTACAAAATTTGTATGAAAGGAGGTGAATGAAAGCATGTCTCAACCTGACTCCCTGAAAAATTTCATAGGACAAATGAATTTCATAGCAATCCATCCCAGTGAAAGAAGCAAGCTGTGAATCCTGTCTAACGCATTTTCATTCTAATGCTGCTATCAGACATCTTTTTCAAATGGTTTGGACTAAATCTAATGTTAGATAACTCTATTTGTATTCATGCAGAAATGCATGACTTTCTCTCCACCCCATCTGATGCCTTAAATTTACTCTGGATGGTCCTCCAAGCCCTGGAGCAGATCTGAACAAATGTGGAGGGTGGCATGGGTCAGGAAAACTTCAGTCCACCAGTGGTGTCCATTGGCAGGATGGTGGCAGGATGCCACTGGACATATATATTATCATGGTTCAGAAAGCAAGGGCCAGTGATAAAAACACATTGACATTTGCATGATCAATTTTGATCAGAGCCACAGCATTTGTGTACGGTGGACTGAAAGATACATTTTGGTATTTTTTGGAAGGGAGGGGGGAGGGAGGGGGGGAGGGAATTGGTACTTTTGGGATGCATGTCTGATGACACAGCTCAACTTGAGTCCAAGACGTATGTCCTTCCTGAATGTCACCTCTGAGTTTGAGCTCTATTCATCACAACTATGTGCATAATATTCCTGTCCATGTTTGATCCAGGATATATATAATATGTCTGAAAATAATCTTTAATGTCATGTATTTGGCTTTATGAAACAACACAAAGGGCAACAGGGCAGTAATGATTTCCAGAAGTGTACCTTCAGCTCTTGGATTCTGATTTCTGATTTAAGAGGCGATTAGCTGCAGCATTTTTAACACTTTTTGTTTTACTTGCCAGATCAGGAATAGTTGTGCTTGGTGCAGGTTGGTCCTCAGCCACGTGAACATCCATGCCAGTTCCAGGAACTTTCAAATCCAGCACAATTGTAGGCAAGGGTTCCAAGTTAAATTCACTGTCCCCCTGGTCCAAGGGCAGAAAACTGTCTGGTGTTGCTGCTGATGCAGATGATGTGGGCACATACTCCTGGTACAGCAGATTGCGCAGTTTCTCGTCCAGGCTTTTTATCGTGTTGTCAGCAAAATCCACCCTGGGTGGTCCTTCGCCATCTGATTCTACTGCGCAGGGTGGCTGCGGTGCACTCGTGGCAAGGCCACTGGAAGGTGCAGGTGGGGCTTGGGCTGGCATCACGTGATGCTGGGGTGCAGCTGCTGACACGTGAGGAGGACTTGAAAGCTGAGGTGCTGCCAGACTCTGTGGGTCGGGGACAGCAGTCACAGGAAGGATCTGGCCTACAAAAGAACGCTGCATCTGACCAGGCTGGCTGCTGTCTGGCAAACTGGAAACTTGTGTTGGAGGCTGGTGTTCTAGAAGGGCAGCACTGGGGAGCAGAGGGGGCGAGGAGACTTCTGATGCCTGGACAGGGCCAGGCTGGAGCAGCTTTGGAAGCCCAGCCGCGCTGTGCTCAGCCTCTGCATCGGGTACACAAGTGGCTCCTTCTCTTCGTTGTGGTGCCTGCAGTGGGGCATTCAGAGCTTGCTGGACCTCAGCATGCTCTTCGTGTGAGGTCTTGCTGTACGCAGACGTGTCGGGCTGACTGGGTGCAACAGGCTGCTCAAGCTGACCTGTACTTTCGGCAGCCTGGTCTAGAGCAGATGGAGCTGCTGGTGGGAGTGTGGTGATTTCTGGCTGAACCTGTGAAAGGGAGGTTGAGGGAGGTTGTGCAGAGACATGTGTCAGTGGAGATGGGGGAGGAGTTCCTCTTGGGCTCTCATAGCTGCTCCTTTGTTTAGAGAACTGCTGATAAGCTGCGTTTGTTTGCTTGTCTGTCACTGTGGAGCTCTGCTGCTGGTCATCCAACTGCTCCAGGTCTACAAATAACAAAAGAAGAAACTTCTGAAATTAGATAACATTTTCCTTTCGAAAATCTAAGCATCAGCATATTGACCTCCATATTAAGAAGAAAAATCTCTCAAGAAAGGTAAACCTTACAATGTTGGAAAGTTCTTTCCTTATGTTAATAGTTTTTAAAATGGCTGTGGTGATTCTTTCCAAATAGATACAGTAATGGGCAGTATCCACCAGTGTCATTCTGAATAGTCAAATAGTGCTAGTGAACTTCCACTGGATATTTCCATTGTGCAAGTGACTGCATAATTCATTTACACAACCACTTCTGCAATATAATGTTGAACTGCATGTGCAACCAGATGTGTAAGCATCATGCACCGCTGGTTGCACTCAAGCTTGCACAAACATGGCTTGAGTTGGATTCTCTTCTTACACACCTTTCAGAATTTAGCTTCTGCAAGCATCATTTGTACTGGTTAGAAATTGCCCCATATTGATAGTCTGCATGCCCAACTAAAACTTGATAATGAAGAAATGGTATTCTCAACAGCTGTGACAGCTCTGCTTAAAAAAATGTATTATACTTTCTCAGCTATTAGCAGTAATCAGACACAGCCCCACTTCAGCCAGCTGGAAAACTAAGATTAATAACAAGATGTCACATGTGGTACATGGTTCTTTAAAATTCATTTATGTGACAAGAACGTCAATTGCTTCTGCACATGTAGAACAAAAAGGGATCAAGTTTCATGCCCACAAACGCGAGCTCTTAGTAGCAAGGCTGCGACACTAATCTGACCCTCACTAGTTCTTACAATGGTACTACTTGACCCTGGCTATTCCAATCCTTCAGAATAATGAAGGACGGACACACACGCTTCCGGATGGCTTCTCAGTGCTCCTGCTTCTGTATTTTTGGTTGAAAATTGCTAGGTAGTGGTGACAAAAGAAAAAAAATGTGCCAAACAACTGTAGATTATATCTTGAATACTAGCACTTTATTTATTTATTTATTTATTTATTTATTTATTTATTTATTTTAGAGTTCCCCCTCTTCATTGGCCAAGTACCAGTTGAAAGGGTTTCCTACTGTATCTCTTCCCTTGCTCTCATGTTCTTCCCCTCCTAGAAATATTTTGAAAACATGCATATACATATAAAGCTCACAAATACCTTTGGCTTCAGCCTGTTTTGCACTTTGAGGAATAGTTGGAGAGAATTCTGGTACTTCAGCTACTGGATTTTCCACAACAGGACAAATGATAAACCAACGTTTTCCTGTATGTAGAACTAATGATAAAAGAAGATTACAGTTTTCAAAAGCTTTTAGTTAAATAGCTGACAAGAAGCTTTAATGACTCAAATCGGACTAGTGCTGACTAATTTTTACTATTATTAATAAAAACACAGAGCTATCCTATTTAAGACCATATGCCCATATAGTTAATGGAACTAATCCAGATTAAAACAATGGCTACTGTTACACCTACTACCTGACCTTGCACATTTAAAAACCCCATGGTGTGTAACCTGCTTGCATATGTGAATGTGTATTTTGGGTGCATGTGAAAACACATGAACACACAAATATAGGAAAGCATCCCTCAGAAACTGAAGAATCACCTCAAATGTATGAAATTCTAACTGATTTTCTGAAATTCATAACTGCTTTGCGAACTTAAGCAAGAATCAGGAAGAAAGATAACTGGAGAGGATGAAAACTGCCAGTCAGGGTTCATTTCCCTTATTGTGGAAAATGACTAGCAGTAGCTGGAAAGCTGTTGCTTCCATTTAAGGTTTAAGGTCATCAACAGGGGCCCCTTCTGCATGTTCCCCCCACTAAGGAGGTAAGTGCGGGGTTGCAAGAAGAGGGCTTTTTCTGTGGTGGTAATTTTACTGTAATGCCCCCCCCAGAGAGCATGATACTAATGGGGGGCCTTTAACAAATCTAACAAATAAATAAATAATTACGTAAAATCTAAACTTTTGTGACATGTTTCTTACAATATCCCTTGGCTGGGCTGACATTTGTTAAAATAAAGCATTATGATTAGTTAACTACTGTACAGCGTGGGATCACCTGCCCTATCTATGGATCAATTGATCTATTAATAAAAACACTTTTACCATTTTGTTGGTACACTGGCATTCTTGCTTGAGATTGCCGATTCTCCTAAAGGAAATGAAAAAATACCATTCATAACCTACATTAGTGACCTTAGCATCACCATTAACAAGTAACCCATTAGTAATCATAGAAATATTTTTACGGGAAATGTTTGCTTAATTAAATCACCAATGTTATACTAATATTTCTTCTATGGTAAGATAATAAATAAGTTGTTAAGAGATGTGTAATGTAGATGTTTTTTAACAATACCTCTTTGATTTCCAGCCCATAAGTATCCTGCTGTGGGCTTGCACCTTGATCAGAACTGCGTTCCCCTTCTGTATCTTCACTAAGCATATCTTCTGCTTTATCAATAATTTCTTTCAGTTGCTCAATAAATATCTCTTTCTCAGTAGGCAGTATAAATTCATTTTCTACCTATATGAATTTGCAAAAATAATATTTAAAACTGTAGTCTCTAGTGTTTGGACTGTAATTCCTTCATGTTCAACTAACTCTACTGGTTATCTATCCATATTTAAAGTAACATACTGCATGAAGAAATTACATTGGAAAAAGTTTTTTCTGGTCAAACCATAAGTCTCAAGTTTTCAAGAAAATTAGTGCTTCCCTGCCAAAAACCATTATGAAAATCATTAGTTATCATGTAACTGGTTTTTCTTAACTAAGATGCAAATTAATGTTTCACTGCATGGAATGTGCATAAGATTTTTCTCCCTCTCTCATAATACTAGAATGTGAAGTCATCCTATGAAGTCGATTGATGGAGGTTTAAGACAGATGAAAGGAAGTACTTCTTCACACGAGGTATAGTAGAACTGCCGAGCTTGCGGCCATGAGAAGTGGAGATGGCACCCATTTGGAGCAGGAGGAAGATATCACTGGCTGGCTAGCTGCTACCTCCTTTACTAGAGCTATGGCCTGCCTGCACACACCAGTTGCTGAGGGGTTTGGGCAAGCAGAGGTCTTGCACCCGTCCTGCTTGAAGATCCTTCGGGCAGCTGGTTTGCCACTGTGTGTATGGCGTGCTGGACTAGATGGCTCTTCAGTCTGATCCAGCATGGCTTTTCTTATGTTCTTAGGAACACAATATATCAGGATGGATGTGTCAATAGGAACTTTCAGCTTGCCCCAGTTTTCCTTGAGCCAGAGCTTGTGGCAGGTCCCATGCTTTGTGTGCAGAGTCCCAAGCTTGATCCTTGGCATGTACAGGTAGGGCTAGGAAAGATTCCTGCCTGAAACCCCAAAGAGCTACTGTCAGTCAATGTTGGCAGTTCTGGGCTAGATGGATCAATGGTCTGCCCTAACTTAAGATTAGGAACTACCATACTAAAGATTTCTGGACTAAATCAACAGCAATAGGACAGTCACATCTGATCAGAAATAAGTCTTATTCTGTGCCGAAATGGACAGATTGACTTTGTCTCTGAAGAAGAAAGAGGATACAGACTTCTACCAAACTTGGAACTCTTTTTATTATTGACTAGAGAAAGGGGACTATGCACAGACTTAAATATGTTTATGGATTACTATAAAAAGAAAAAGTATGGGGGGCTGACCCAGTAGGTCTGCCGCTTTTGATGATTGATGTTTTTTAGTTTCTTTTTGTTAGTTAGTAGAAAATAACAATAAAACTTATTTTAAAAAAAGAAATAAGTCCTATTAAAATAAAGAGACTCTGCTCCCAAGTAAGTGTGCACAAGATTCCAACATTAGACACCTCATGACCTTTTGGAACTGTATGTATACAGTAGCAGCTTGTTACTGGCAAGTATAGAAATCAAGGGTGTGCATTTCTTTCCATATGCATATCCGTCCCCAAAGAGCAAAGAGGAAACAGAATCAGTGGCTCACTCAAAGGGGGTTGAGATACCCTCTCTAGCACTATCACCCTCTACACAGAGCACAGAAGCACATTCAGAGATAAATACTGAACAGAAATAGCCTGTACCTCAGTAACATCTGAATGATCAGAAACAGTTCTCTCTAGCTATTCTAGGATAACTGTAGTTTCTCTTCAGTTTATTAAATGAAAGTTTCAATTATTTTAAAAAGCTCCAAGCCAAGGAAAATCTTACCATATAAGTAGCAATTTCTTCTGGAGCATCACCATCTAAATCAAATTTAAACGTAACCATTTTGTGATTGTGTGTTTCTAGCTGACATTCCACCATCTTATCCCCTGTGTTGCACACCTATAAAAAGAACCAATAATTATTTCCAGCATTATTAAACATGTAAGTCAATCTCAAACAAAGGTATCTGACTTACATTTAAAATCGTAAGTTTTGGCCTGTTGGATTTTTCCTGACGTGAACGAGTACGAGCTGATTTTTTATGTTTCTTTGAAGGTTTTCCTTCTTGCTTTCCACTCCCACTTGTTCCTTCAAAGCTGTCACTCATCTCTTTACCAGAAGCAACATCAGGACTCATATAACTTTTCAATAAGGAGTGAAAAAGACATGGTAATTTAAAAGCTTTTCCTTAAAACCAGCACAAATTCATTATACCATTCTGCAGATCAAAGATTCACCTCGTATGGCATTCTGTTTCTCATGCTGCCAGCCAGTTACTTTAAATAGTTATCTTGTACTGTCATATTCACTGATAGACCCATCTACCATCAATTTGTCTATAGTGAGGACTCCTTTTAATTGGTTCAGACACCACTCAGAAACAGTTCAGTGAATGATAGAGCATTCTAGAGTTTTTTCCCAGAAAATAGAGGGAGAATATTTTTTTCTGTATTCAGTATTTCCATACTGCTCCTCAAAACTATAAAATTACAGAGTTAAACGTTGTGTAGTTACCCTATTCAATGAAGGGTCTGCAATGCAGGATGCAACTGCAGTATAACTGACAAACAGCCAGCCAGCCACTCCTAAAATATTTGCAAAAAGAGAGAGTCCACCTCTCTCGAGGCAGGCTGCTCTGCTGAACAGCTCTTTCAGTTCTGAGGCTTCTAAAATTTAGCCCAAACCTGCTTCCTTGCAATTCCCACTACTGGTTCTACTCCCCTATGGAGCAACAGAGAACAAGTCTGCACTGCTCTGAAAAAGCTTTACCAACTTTTAGTAAACTGAACATGGTAAGATATTGTCATAAAATGCAGCACAGAATGAGGTGATATCTGAAGTTAGATCTCCATTCAACTTAAGCTTTGTTTTGAGATGGCAAGGATTTTGCTGCTGCCCATCATTCTCAATAGAAAATGTGTGCAACAATTACTGAATGGAAATAGGAAGGGGCTAGGGTGTACAAGGATTTCATTTCTGTTTGCAAATCATGCTAATACACTCTTTGCAGCCCCAAATATAAAGTGTGAATTTGTGATCACACTCAATATATTTTTTTAAAGCGTATGTCCAGTCTTTGGGAGAAATCACACATGTGAAAAATATTCACATTTGAAAGGGACACTTTTTCCATTTGAAGGAGCCAACACACAACGGGGGGGGGGGGGGGGAGAGAGAGAGAGAGAGAGAGAGGAAGGGGAGAATGGAAAGAATGAAAATGGGATTGAGAGGAAAGAAACTTTGATGTGATTGTTATAGATTCAGGTGAACTTGAAAATCACTAGCTCTGCCACTGCTACGGCAAGCAACATGCCCTTCCCAGCATGTGTTGGTGATGAAGGGGGTAATTGGCCCCCCATAATATGAGAATCTTCCTTTCCCTTGGGACCCACAATGGATAAGTGGTAGTTTACATTTGGCTTCGTGGGTCACATGTTCACAGAACTTGCTCAAATTAAGATAGTCTGTTTTGTTTTTTGATCAGCTGAAGTTAACAGACATCTCACAGGCAAGTTACTATGCCTTCTATAGATCTTATATATCTACTGTGAAATATATCCAATTAGCTTTTTTTTTTAAATCTTTTTTCCTCTTTTTTGTTTTTGCTTTGCTTAGGTACATAATAATACCTTCATAATATCAATAATATATTCATGTGTTTGTGCTCATCTCTCTGCTGCACACAGTGATAATTGGCCCCCCATAATATGAGAATCTTCCTTTCCCTTGGGACCCACAATGGATAAGTGGTAGTTTACATTTGGCTTCGTGGGTCACATGTTCACAGAACTTGCTCAAATTAAGATAGTCTGTTTTGTTTTTTGATCAGCTGAAGTTAACAGACATCTCACAGGCAAGTTACTATGCCTTCTATAGATCTTATATATCTACTGTGAAATATATCCAATTAGCTTTTTTTTTTAAATCTTTTTTCCTCTTTTTTGTTTTTGCTTTGCTTAGGTACATAATAATACCTTCATAATATCAATAATATATTCATGTGTTTGTGCTCATCTCTCTGCTGCACACAGTGATAAATGTTATGGGAAGATAAGCAAAAAGATTGGGGGCCACTCAAATGCTGTTTGATGAGAAGATCAATAATGGCAGGCAGGCTGTTCAAAAGACAATTTGGCCAGTAACACTGAACTGCCCTGCAGGTTGCAGCCAAAGCAGAGCAATGAGCATATGTTATCTTATGTTATGTTATACGTCTGATCTACATGAGGCAAGGCCGAAAGCAATCGCTGCCCTTGGAGAACAGAAGGCACACCCTCGAAAGGGCTCCAGATCCACTGCATTTGGTAAGAATTTTGTACTGACATGGAAAGTTTCCTCAGGCTTGGAGACTTTTTATGCACCAAACAAATAACAAAGATACCTTTCACAACTCTGTGATAGCGATTGCTGCTTCTCCACTGTTGCATGCTCCTAAAACAGAAAGAAAAAATATTTAAGTAGAGACATGTTGCAAAATTGTTATCTGTGTACAAAAGGAATGCAACATTTTACGCATGCCTAAAGACACACTTGAACACTTGAGATTCTCATAGATTTCAATAGCTGAGAATTAAACATGTCCAATTTTACACAAGCAGCTCAAACAATTTTCTGGAGCAGACTTTCTTTAAGTAGATTACTGAGCACATTGCCTCTTAAACTATTGTCCCAGCTGAGAATTACTGTATGTTGGAAACAGAAGTAAAACAGTCAGCTCTTTATAGCACAGTGGCAAGTTTTAGCTAAAGATTAACAAAACCTCAGTCTCTTCAGTTTTATAACTGTTATATGATTGATAGGGGAAGTTAAACAATAGATCACGGAAAGGAAGACACTCTGAAGACTGTAAGAAGAATACAAAGAATGAAAATTGTGAAAGATTCCAAAGCATGACATGTTAATGAGATAAGAGATTAAGATCACAAAAATTCACCAAAGATGAATCAGTTTTAAAAGATGCTATCCAGGAGGATAAAGAGAATGGCTCTTCCAAGCATATTAGTTGTTCATAGTTCACAACACCAAGGTGTCATTAGTAAAAAAGACATCATACCTCTTTTGAAGATTCTGGAGCCAGTGGGATGACTGGGCATGGAACCTGAACCTGCTGACCCAGTGGCTGGTGATTATCTGGCTGAGATTTCACATAAGCAGTAGACTGGAGAGGAGGGCCATGATCTACAGGCATTGCTGCACCAGCTGGAGGAAGGATGCTTTGTGAAAGACCTTCAGGACCAATGCAGGGAGGCAATACATCAGGTTGTAGTTGCAGTGGTGGTGATCTAACTGCAGAAGGCTGCACTGGCAATGTAGGCATCTGGGTTCCAATATCCATGGTATACTGAGAGTGTCCCATAATCTGTTTAAGACAGGAGACATTTGTTATAAGAACCAATTCTGTTTAAGACATTAATTACTCATATAGCTAACGCCACATTATTAAAAATAAATCCCTGTTTAAAAAAAAATCAATGAAACCATATTCAAATGTGCTTGGTGCTTAGGAAGGAAGTAGTCCATTTATAGAAACAATAGATGTATGAAATGCAATCATGTGGAAGTTGTTCACTACAACAGCCAATCATGTGCAACACTACATCACTAGGATCAGGGGAAAAAATCATCGTATCACAATAGCTAAGATGTACACAACCTGACCTGTATGGCAGGTTCTCACACAGGATTGGAGCACCTGCTATGAGCCATGACTCATGACTACTTTACCTCACACCTAAATCTTTCTTCGCGCTTGTCGCAGCCTATGCCAAGGTGAGGGAGCTTACACTAGGGCAACGCACTTGTCTGAAAGAGCTGAAAGTAGTGGTATTTCAACTCATCAAAAAGCACCCTGCAAGTTGAGACTAAGAAGAATGAGATAAAATCAAAATATGTGCATGCCGGATATAGGTTTTTACTTAAAAAAAACTGGATTCTTATTACAATCAGCAAAAATAAAGACAGGTATCACATATTCACAAATCGCTCGTGGTGTATCTCTGCATATTGTATCATATGGGCTTGGACTTTTACGTAACATTTGGTATAGCTACATTTGAGGCAGAACACAGGAACCCAATGCCACCTACTTCACAAATATGTGTGGAATATGCCATAGTCTTCAGCTTCAGATAAAATGGATTGTTCCAGTTGCAGAAGCATGGTTCTGCCAATGCTGGTTAGTAATTTTGTAAACATCAGGGGTTTGGTACTGATTCCAGTTTACTAAGAAAATGATGCGTTTAGGCTACACACAATTGGAATCTAACTAGCTATTGAACCAAACACATGGATGTGTTTATGCTTAAGGGAAAATAGTAAAGTGAGTGTTTCAGGATTGGGTTGCAACTTGCAACTCCTTTCTGCAGTATTCTGCACTAAAAACCTTCAGCATTATATATTTATATATAAAAAGGATGTTCTCCATAACAGCACAAAACATAGACACATCATAATGTACATTTTTCTCCTTGGTCCAAGAAGCTGGAGTTGCTAAATCAATCTTTACCTGAAGGGGAAGCTGAAGCAAGGATGGGATATAGAAGACAGACAGAAAGAAAAGGCAGCAGCAGCAAAGGAAAGCACAGAAGACAAAGAGAATTACATTTAGTACAATTCATGTGCCATATAACTGGTGTCCTGTGTGTTTATAAGCACTGTGTTGCTGTATGTCTATGTTGTATTTCACCTATGGAACCAAAACAGAAAACACAGGCTGCTTTCCAATCTTTCATTGTACAAAATAATATAAAATGTTTAAGAATTCAGTCATTTCAAGTTACGTTTTCAAGACTAAATAATTGTTACTACTGAGATACAACCTGATGAAAATGACAAAGGTACAATTCCTTGCAAAGAGGGCAGGACTGTACAATACAACAGTTGTGTCACAATTTCTGTCTATTAGGGAAATAGGAGGAAGATCTGTATTTTTGATTAAGCAATTTCCTAAATTTAACTCCTAAAACAGCAACTAGAAGCAGTCATCAATAGAAGTAGAAAAGAGATATACTTGGAATTCATTTGTTTTAATCTTTCCCTGGCAAGGTATAAACACCAGTATGAATTTTTAATTTTCTTTTGGTAAAGGCTCCTCAGAACGCAGCAAAAGTCTCTTTGGTAAGAAAACATGAACCAGTACATAGCAGAATATTCTGGTATATCAATATAAGATATTTGACATGTTTGGAGCATTAAGAAGACCTGAGGCAACTACTTTGGAAGCCAATGAAAATAATGCCACTGGTTCAATGAACAGTAGGTTGGGGCTCAGATGATCGTACATTTTTCACAAACAATATTTATGTACCAAATATATGGCTGAAGACAGAAATTTAGATACAGTAAAGCTGGAGGTACAGAACAACAGATTGAGATGGAATGTTATGAATTTTAAGACGGTGGACGATATGATAGAATGCAGTGGCTTCTTACAGAACCCGCCCCCCGCCCCCCAGTTTTAGCATGCCATTCTTAAGTCTTCATACTTGCTATAAACTCATTTCTGTTCAGATCATGCTTATTCTGACATTACATTATTCAATTTTATTGCCTATTAAAAGGGCTTAAAATTAGGAACTCCTACACTTATTCATTTGTAAATTTTATTTATCGTATGTCATAAACTGTACTGCAACCACCATAAAAATCTTCAATTTATCTTCAACTGTCACGATGAATAAAATATCTGTTAGTACTATGTACAGATTCTCTAAACATTATTTCTGAAATTATTTCCCATTATAAATCTCACTTCACTGAAGAAAAGTCTACTTTTAAAGCAATCATGATACACTAACAGCGCAATCCTATACTTGCACATTTGGAAATAACCTCCACTGTGTTCAGTGAGGTTTAATACCAAGTAAGTGTGTATAGGATTGCAGTCTAAACGTGTAGGTAACTTTATCACCTACTTACAGTATGTGTTTTGTAAATGCAAATGCAACATTTTCCTCACTGCTAACAGGGGACTGCAGCATGTCTCAGGACAGGAGCTAGCACTCAGTGGCACAGTGATATGTGCTCATCACTTCCTGTTCAAGCTGCCCTCAGCATCACCCAACTATTTTTCCAGGCCTAAATTTGTCAATAACAAAGTAATTTTCTGCATCTTACTTTTCTGGTCCTAGCTCCATAGGTCATCATTTTAAAAGAAAAAATTAAGACCCCAAAGAGAAACAAATGTGTTTTTATAATGGAACAAACTGCAGAACCGTCACTTGGGAGTAATTCTCCTATTTCCTACTACCAAGAAAGTCCAACGTCAAACAGATTACCTGATTACCAGCCCCAGATGCAGACATAGTCTGTTCTGAAGGATGAATTATGCTTGGTTGAAGTGACTGAGGAAGTGGAGGCAGCTGCTGCTGCTGCTGCTGCTGTTGTGAAACTGCTTGCATGTTCTGTGTGTGATGGGGAGAGGAAAAAGCTTCATTCTGAATTATCTGCTGGAGGGTAGCCTGGTACATTTGCTGCTGGGAGAGCTGGGCTACTGCATGATGTGTTGGTAAAGCTGACACTCCCGGTGGAGCCACAGCAAGTAATGGTATTGGAGCAGCCGACATATTTGGCACAATTGTTTGGCAGGGCAAGACCAAGGAAGCCACAGTACTATGAGGAAGGTTGACTGCTTGCATGGGTAGGGCAGGGGGATTTGATGTCAGTGGCAGAGCAGGGTTCACAGGGAGGCTTGGTAACATCACAGCTGGAGAAAAATATTGAGAAGGAGCAGGTATAGGGGGCACATTTGCAGCAGGTATATCAGACAGGTTTGGAGGATGGCTGTCAAGTCCTGCCAGAGGAGTAACTGCAGGAATGACAGGAAACTGAGGAATCTGAAAAAAAATATAATATTATGTGAATTGCAAGAGTGTCTCCGGATGGCACTAAGTCAACTAATTTGCCTTACATATATAGCATGATGAACAGTGACTTCCATCCAGTTTCATGGGTCTATTTATCAAGATTGAGCAAAATTATCCCTAGAGCAAACGCAGAAGAAGATTTCAAAGCAAATTTATGTATGTTAGCCTGAGCATCCAAAACAATTGCAAAGGAAATGTATTATCATGCAACACTCTATTATCGCTCCATGTATGCATATGAATGGGGGGCATTTTAGACAGATGTTTCCACAGCTCCCAAACACCGCACAGGCAATGCCCTGTTTTACAAGGCTTCTCATTGTATACATGGAGATGCTGTTTCAGCAGGCATTCCATTCACTTGAAGTGGAATGGAGTTGAATGCCCATGCAAAGCTCTCCTAGTTGAAGCAAAAGATGACATGCCCATGCATGCACAAGCATAGTATTCTGCCCAAACTGAAGCGGCTGTGGGTGCAAACTGATGCAAATTCAGGGGAAAACTCTTAATGATTACAGCATTTCTCAAACTGGAATGGTGGATGATTTTCCACATTGTCCTGAGTTATACATGGGAAGATTCAGCACTTTCTGGAGTGTGAACTGAGAACCCACTAGAGTCATTGAGAGGAAAAGGGGGATGAAAGTTTCCAAATGCATTCAGGCTGGAGATAAAGTGCAGAAGCGCAATGGGAGAGCATGTGTGTGGATACAAACAACACAGGGAATATTAGAGCCTTGCAAGTATATCCAAATAAGATTCAAGAGAGAAGGCACTTGTTAGATATAGGATCTTCGTAAGCTAGGGCACAATTTCATAAAGTTTGAGAAACACTTAATTTAATAATATTTAATGAAGTAAACTTATGCCATTCAATATACTAAATGCTATGATTTTCTAAAACCTGGGTGATAACCTTCTGCACACAATTAATTTGACTTATTGAAAAAATACAAGCAGTTAATGTGTAACAGAATCCAGTATTAACTAAAAACAACAACAAATCTCATTTAAAGCATATACTTATGCATTGTAGGGCAGCTTTGCTGAAGATATTAATCCCATTTATAACAGATATGCAAACTAATATGCATATGAGTTTTCAACATTAAATAACTACAAAATTCAAAATGCTATTTTCCTCATTTAATACACACATTTAAATCGTATTTCACAATGCATTTTTATAAAGTTACTAGAATACAGTAACTGTAAAAACAGGACTTTTATATATAGTGTCTGTGCATATCTATCTAGAAAATACAACTGAATGGATATAAAACATTATTGAATACAGTCACAATCCCCTAGCTATGCCTAGTTACTGCATACAGCAGATTAACATAAAGATGCTGACCGCCCCTTGTCTCAGAACATACGAAGATTAACACTTTTTCCTAGGCAAACAACCCTTTTCTAATTCTATAGTCACATCTACATTGGATATTCCAGGTTTTACAACAGTCACTGTGCTTGCAAAAGACCTCGAAGCATTCCTCATCTGTCCAATCCAGAGCTTGTTACTGCCCACTCCCCGTCTCCCACACAGCATCTGTGCACCAAAATAGCCAACCACTCAGCTAAGTGGCAGGACTCTGGAAGGGAGCAGTGCCAATACAAGGCACATCTCTAAGATTTCTTCTTGTGCCTGGGGAAGCCTCAACTGCTAAAGGAGAATTTAGTTGGATCACATGCCTCTTATTTTGTGACCACTTCTGACCATTAAGTAAAGGAAGTTTTCATTTATTTTTAACTCCTGAAATACCCAGAATTTTATATAGAATTTAAGAATATATTAGATTTATGGCATTTATGCAAACTGCTAGACTCCAAAACTCAGGGACTCAGAATATAATGGGATCTCTGAAAATATTTGTCTGAGCAATTTATTTCCCTCATTCTCTACTGCATTATTACTTTTTCTGGAGATCATTTTTCCTCTAGATCTACAAATGTGATGGCTGGAGTCATTCATCACAATGGGTCACAATGGGTTAATTTGCAATTAAGCCATGGTGGACTGGTTATTCACTCAACAACCCAAAGTATGTCCAACAGACAGCTGGGCTCGCTGTACCTTGTTTTCCCCTTCCCTGAGGCTCAGTCTTCCAGTTGGCTCCAGCATGTATCCCAAATCCCTCTGTAGCAGAACCCATCTTGCTCTGGTCCTCACTCATTCTTATTCCTTTCCTTTTTCTTTGCCACCTTTTCTCAGTGCTTTAAGTGAATGCACATGTATTGGTATATTTAATTGCTCTTTTCACAAGAGCACAAGAGCATACTTATTGACCTTACCAGTCAATATTCTTGTATGTTTTGGGGCAGTTATCAATGGAAGCCCCAAAACAGAGTAAGTAGCATACAAGGAAATTGACTAGATGAGGATGCATGTAGGTGCAAGCTGTGAAGGACCAGGGGAGAAATGGCAGTAAGGAAGGACAGCAGCAAAATTCAAAAGCACCAATAAAGAGGAGAAAAGATGAATGGCCTAAGTGCACCAAAAGGGTGGGCAGTATCACCCTTGCCAATGAAATCTTTTCACTTTTAAACATTGACTTGACACTTCTTAATATTCTTGCATCCAACACTTGCGAGTTCCCAGGCTTTCTTGTCGTAGTTGCTGAGCAGTTTTATAATAAATGCTGGCAACTCATGACAAAATCACTCTCTCCAGTTCAGACAACACTACAACCCACCATGGATATGAATAACCCTGCAATCAGGCATGGGCTCCTTGGGTGACTTCTTTGTGAAAATTAAGCCACACTGCATAGCCCACGGCAGGTTTGGATGACACAATAAGCATCACAGCTAGCTGCCCATGATGGGCTGCTGTGCTGAGAGAACCAGGTCAACAGAGTGGCTTGCTGCCAGCACTCCCGATCTCTCTAACATCTCAATTTCATTTACTGCCCTCTATTCATGTACACTGGTAGAAGCAGGCTGGTATGTTGCTTTTGGTGAACTGCAATCAGAGAGAGAGAGAGAGAGGGAGAGAGATAGAGAGGGAGAGAGAAAGCGCTCGCGCACATATAAGAGAATGTGGCATATACAAAGTATTTCCACAGGCACATGGAAAGTGTTGATTTCCCATTCCAGGAGGAGTCAGAATTGAGCCTCATGGAATGCTGCTCTAGAGTGTCTCCTAACATTGGACTGCCTTTTCAAGTAACACAGGCAAATATGATAGCTAAATGGAGAGCTGAAATGGGGATCCCAGCCATTCTTTTTTTCTGGAATATTTGCAAGTGACATGCTATTACAGTAAGACCACGACCATGTGAACACTTTCCAGGAGAATCAGACTCACTGAACTCAGCAGGGTTTACTTCTGATTAGTCATGAATAGGATTGCACAGAAAATGCTCCCACTAAAACTTGCTTGAACTAGCAAAATAAGGAGGAATAAGGACTAATGTACCTGTTAAGCAATGCACTGAAAAGATCCTGGGGGAAAATCAGATGTCATAGAAAATTAACCCATACAATTTTTAGGAGCAAGAAGTTACCAAAATGCCTTTAAGATAAGTGAACATCCACTTCCTCTTTAAGGGTTTATTTCATCACTTTTAGAAAGAATTAACTTTCTTGTTAAGATAGATGCAACTCGACATAACATAGGATAGTGTTACATATTAGTTAGCAAGTAGATTTGATATGGGGAACAAATGACATAATGTTCTGATACAATCCACTTTTTCCTGTTTTGGTGGGGATAGAAAAAGAGCAAAGATACTTTCTCTGCCTACATAAGAGCTCTTCTACTGCAAGTCAGTTAAAGTTATCTATGTTTCTAGTGTTGCTGAAGGAAGTAATCGCCAAAGAACTGGAACAAGAAGCGGGAATACAGGGGATGAAAGTAAGCGACAACTCAAGGGGAAAAAAAGATGAGGAGCCCATCATGCAGAGAAATAAACTGCAGCACTTTTAATAAAAATTGCAGTTCATAACAGCTTGCAACAAGGCAATTTAGACAAATTGTCTGAATTGTCTAAGAACAATAAAGGAAATTAATTTATTTAAAGAGGCTAGCACATTATCTTCTTTATTGGTACCTATTCTTAAAACCTTTATATGATTTTGTTAGTGTAGGTGAAGTCAAGATTTTAAAAGTTCTTAAATAAATCAATTCATGCATGGACAGACAAGCCCTACAGACATGTACACACAGGCTGAGGGGGAAAAATCCCTGTAAACAGTAAAGATGCTATGAGGTGCATTTGTGTACGGTCTGTGATGTCTTCTGTTGGGTCTTATTATTTCACATGTTCTCACTCTATCCTAGTGTATATGCAATATTATCAAAGAAATGAATTGTTTACTATTGGCACCTCTGACACCAGCCTTGAATGGTAGTGCAAGTATGGGGCTGAAAGTTTTCTAGAGGGACTGCATGCCATGGCAAGATATGTTGCACAGGGTTCCACTGGGCTATAGTTAGCTGTTGTTTGAAGCTGGGCCTTTTCTCTAACGCCCACAGCTATCAAAACTGAGTGTGAGTTGATTCTTAGGAGGTGAAGAAGGAACTGCCACTGCTATCTTTAGTCATTTGTTACAATTGAGCTGTCTTATGAACACTGAAAAAGCTGCTGCTGTTGCTATTGCTGTCTAGACTGAATTCCTAAGTTAAATCAACAGTCTAGTGTAGGGCCTGTTCCCCAGCATCTTTGGGCAGGAATGCTCAGGATATTAGGCAGCTGCTGGCCCACAGGGTGGGGAGCAGGGAGTTAAAGGGACATTGTAACCTATTTGGCAAATACGTAGGAATACCCATGGGGAACACTCTAAAGGCACCCTCAAGGCTTTCTACTCCCTGTCCCCTTCAAAAAACATTTTAAATAAAACCTTGCAAAACATTAAGCTAGTCTTCTTTGTCTCCCTTTCTAGCTCTAGTTTTGCTCTTTCTCTCCCCAGTTTCACTATTTCTTTCTCCAGCTCTTTTGCTCCCAGCCTCTAGTCTTGCCCTTTTGCTTCCCTGCATCCCTTCACCTTGCTGTTTCACCCTCACACTCAACTTCTAACTTTACTTTTTGCACAACCATCCACACACTTCTTTAGCTCATTGTTTCCCCCCTCCTAGCCTCTAGCTTAGCTCTTTCTCTCCATCTTCCTTGGTTTTTATCTCCTTCCTAGCCTCTAGCTTTATCCCACCTCTTTACCTTACTCTTTCTTCCTCCCCACATCCTCTAGTCTTGCATTTCTCTCCTGTCTACCCTTGGGCTTTCCTATTGCTCCCTCCCTTCCTCCCGTACTGTTTCTCTCCCAGTGACCACCATCATCTTCTCAGTTTGCCTTTGACTGGCCAGGCTACCACTATATCCATTATGCAAGTAGGTACAAACTGTGTGAAGGCCATTTATGACAGTGTGACAGAGGTTTCTTAACATCTCAAATGTACCACAAGTCCAAGAAGATAGGAGGCCCCTGGTTTGGAAGATAAAATCACTCTCATTCATCCTGGCTCAGAGGCAGTCTATAGAAACACCCAGAGCCCGTCTGTTTTGCTGTATGAATGCTTTTATGGATTGAGAATATGACAAACTTTGGGAAAGCACATGGCCTGTCACCTGATTGCCCACCTCCTTTTGCCTTTACTTACCCGTATCTGGCAGGGAGGGACTGATTGGTGGGTTCTGGAAGCAGTGACTGCCTCTTTATGTGCACGACAAAGGTCCATGTGTGGTGGACAGATGAAACAGGGTGGAGGGAGAGCATGTGTGTGCATGTTTTGGCCCTCAGGAAGAAAAAGGGTCTCCAACCCTGACCGTCAGGATTACTCACAACTGCACAAATTTGTCCACACACTAATGCACCTAGGCTTGGGCCTGGATCAAGAGGATGCTGAACCATAATTTAACATTTCAAGAACAAATGACAGCAAGCCTTGTGGGCTTGTGCAGGTTTAGTGCACCTTGTTTCTGTAATGCTAAGCCATGATGGGTGAGGTTGGGCAACCTGTGACTTGCAGCTCCCAAGAGCTCTGGCCAGCCCAGTCACTGGTAAGGGAAGATGGCAGCTGTAGGCCATCCAGGACATTTGGAGGGTTCCAAATGTCCACTCCCAGTCAAATCCTGCTTTTAACATGGCTGCCTTTAGGCAACCCAGCTACTTGCCAGAGTTTCAGGCAAAATTCTTTCCTAGGCCAGCTGGTTAATGCCAGAAACTTTTGCATGCAAAGCACATGCTTTACATTAGTGAGGTACAGCATTCCCCTTGGCAATCAGTTTTTCATGTAATTATACTTTTAATTAATTTACTCATGTTTAGTTAATTTATTTGTCCTGTGTAAGTGTAACAGCTTTTCCCCAGTCAAACAAGCTGGAGTTGTGGTTCTCCTGGACTGGACTCACGCCAACAGGGCTAGTAGAAAGAAGACCCTCCTGACCTTTCAACAGTGCCTTTAGTTCTAATACAAGGAAAGCATTTGTCATGAATCCCTAATTTTATGTTCCTGCCTTTCTAAAGAGAGGGAGAGAAAGAAAAAGGGACTTCCCTCCACTGGCCATTATTTGAGGGAAGTTAAATTATCTCTTTTCCCTTTCATGTCGACATCTAGATTATAAGTAATGAGGCAGCACCATATAACTTTGAAGTTATTAATTTATTTTAGCACAATGCTATTATTACATAATAGTAATAAATTTCTAGCATCTTAACATAATGCAAATGCACAGAAGCCCCACAGTAATCGCAAAGCTTTCCATACGAGCTATTAGCTATGGAGCTGCCATCAACATAAATGATCTGTAACACAATTTAAAAACTTTATTGAAGTCTCTGGTCAACTTACCTGGCCAGGTGGAACTGGTGGAAGCTGCTGCATAGCGGGGATCTGTAAAGGTGCCAGTGGTATATTGGTACCTGCCACCTGAGAACTGGGAGTTGGATACTGGGGTAACAGCTGCGGTGGAGGCTGCTGCACTGAGCAAATGGGCTGGTTGGTGAGAATTTGCTGTAGAGGAGCTGGAGTTGGGATAGACTGCTGGTGGAAGAAAAGGAAAAGCACGTAAGAGCCTCAAGTGTCCTAGGCATGGGAGTAGGGGAAATGCAAGGCAAAGTCAAATTTGTCATATGCAGCATCTGATAGCTCAATGTAGATGCACTTTCTTGTCACCCGCTACAAGCAAGGCTAGAACTGGAGAGTCTTCAGTGGAGATCATGCGTGATTCAGGGAGGCCCTCTGTGTGATTTAGAACCCCAAGTTGAACAAGGTTCTAAATCACACGAACAACCTCCATAAATAGGGAAAGTTCTTCATTGCTGACAGTCAACTATGGGCAATGGGAGAATGTGCTTAGCTCTCTTTCTCTTCCTTACATTTAGACACCAGAATAGGACCACCAATAAGTCACCGAAACACGTGTATTTTCTGTGTATGAGTTATAGTGCTATGAAAGTCTACCAAGCCAGCTTGAGATGAGACCATGGCCAGAGAAAGGAAGGAGGAAAGAGGAAAAAGGGCTGGGCTGGGCTGGGCAGGGCAGGGGAAAATGGGGTGGGGTATAGCCTGGGCAGTGCCAGACTATACTTCAGTGTCTGAAAAGCTATCATCTGAATACTTTATGAGTCCCACTTCAGTGGCTTGATTTGGGTAGTATCATAAGTCAAAAGAGGAATAAGCCTTTTGCCTGTGCCTACAGTTCTGTTAGCAGTTCATGGAACTTCATCACACTTTCTCATGGATTCCTTTTCCTGCCTTTGCTCAGCGGCAGAGCTGGATGAGGATCTACAAAGGAAGTGATGGGGATGGTGAGGGATGGCTGCTATAGTCAGGTCAATGAAACACATGAAGGAGAAAACCCTAATTATAAACTACAAATAGTAAGGCAAACCTTCTTCCTACTAGAAATGGAAACAAAACTGTATGCATGTATGAAAGAACCTGGACAGGTGGACAAAGAAATTAGAACTCTCTGCCTTTCTGGTCCATTTGTTTTAACATGTAAATAATATCCTGATTTACATCAAGCAATGCATTTCATGAGTTACTAACAGCAGAATTCAATAGCCCTAGGCAGCTATGGGATTTATGATCTAAAAAGCCATTAAGATTTTTGGGGGGTACAAATTGTGCCATTGGAGTACCATTCTCCCTTAGCCAGGGTAGAAAGAACCTAAGAGATCTTGGAGTAGAGGCCAAGGGACAATCCAATGGGTGCAGAGGAGACCAGTGCCGCTAAGGTATCATATAGCTTGGTGGACCTCCACCTCCTTTCCCCTCACTCTGAAGCGCTTGCATTTAGACGGACCGAACAAGATGCCAACCTGCTTTGCAAGGGAAAAGGAGTAGAGAGCCAACCTTCTCTTCCTTGGACCACAAGCCAAGCAGAATGCCTGCAATCCTCCATGTTCAGAGATGTAAAGGCACCTCACTGGAGTGCAGGCTAAAACGCAGATTCAGCCACTGGTGCACAAGCAGGCCTGCAGCACCAGTTAAGGACCTTACCTTAAGTTTTTTCAGCAGCTGCCCTGAAAGCTGTTTGGTCATGGTCTGAATAAAATGCTGGACTCAATGAACCCTCGATCTGATCCAACGCTTCTTATATTCTTACGTTCAGAAAAAGCAAGGACTTGCCTGCTGGCTGGCTAACACAGGCTGAGGTTGTCTCATTGGCACAGGAGCAACTGAGGTGGGATGGGAAATGGGGAATGAGATTGCTGGTTCTTGGTAATGTTGTGGTCGCTGAGAAACAGCAGCAGGTGGAGTCGGAATCACTGGAAGTCCAGGCTGAAAAAGAGAAAAGATAAATCACACAAACATTTTTGAGTGTTAGAGCCAAAGGGGGCCTACAGATGGAAAAACACAGGACTGATCACTGACACACCTTGCAGTGTACATGAACAATGGCACACCACACAACATAAAACCCACAGGTTTAAAAAAATAATACTTAACTCCAAAAACATCTTGACTCCAAAAGCCATCCAGAGCACCCGCAGGGAATTCTGGAAATGGTTTTTCTACTTGACTTTGGAAGCTACTACAGTGATGGTCAAAGATAAGAAGTCAGATATATGCAACTTTAGAGGGTCCACAGCCTTGTGAGGAACTGGGAAAATTTGTCCCCATCTCCCTGCACTTTTGTGTTTGATAGTGAGAAAAGTGGGTAGTATATTTACTGTAGTAAATGGTATTTATTGCTTGGATTAGCAGAATGAGTATGAGAGCCAAACTAGATGCAACACAGATGTTGTTAGATCTCTGGATTCTTACTTAAAGAAATGAAACAGGAAATGAAGCAGTGTACACATATGCTTTGAATAAGACCATTTGTGGAGGTCGGGGGATTAAGACAATTTTCTCTTCCCTACAGAAGCTAAAACCCCACTGTTGAAGAATATGGTATGGTTTGAACATATAGAGTTGGATCAAAATGTATGCATGCGCAACCAGACAGGTAGAAGTGGTCTTCCCAGTCCCCCTCTTCACAAAGTAGACCCTTAAACTCACTGAACATGCCACACAGGGACCCCTCCGAATAGGCTGAACTGCAACGGACAGAGAAAGAGATCCTCAAACCTTGGTCTCTTCCATGAGCAAAACCTTTTGATCTATGGAAGGCAGTTCCTCAACTCAACTCAAGGTGCAGATCTACATTATCTTCTTTCAATGGCTGCTGTTTTTCAAAAGATGAGGGCTTAGCACCACTGAAATACTAGTGAAACCTGGGTTGCTAGGTTTCCTGCAGATTTGGCTCTTCAGCAAGACCAGGTTTAAGGAACGAAAAGCTCTGAATGGGCTTGTCTGTTGCTCCAACGAGGAGCAGAGCACTCTGGGCCTTAAATAAGGGTGGAGGACCATTTAGAGCACCTGGCTCTATCCCATTACTGACTGAAGATTTGTGTGGGTTTGCGCATCACACTGAGCCAAACTGCAAATAAGTCAGTGGGCTGGTGACACATGGTGCACCCAACAGACAGTCAAGCTCAACTTGGGTTGTTCTCTCCCTCCTTGGTCCTTACCTCTGCAATCGCATCCCAGTGTCCTTTACGGCAGAATGCATCTTGCTTTCCCCTCCATCTATGATAGCTACATTTTTTCATTTACACTGGTTTTTTTCCTATATGAAAAAAATGCTTCTAGTACAATTGGGGCCGTTTTTCTACCTCTGAAAATTTTGCATTATAATTGGTGGTGGTCTTTTGTGAACATACAAATGCCTTGCTAATTCCCTTGCCCATTTCAGCTGTTAAAGGGGGACAAGATAAGGCTGCAAATAGGCTAATTTGCCCACAGTTGCCAGCTTTAATTTGCCCAGCTGTCCATTGATAAGCACCAGTAAATGGGGGAAAGATGGGGAAACAAGGTGGACCCAAAGAGATGGTATCAATACAATTCACTTAGCAATGTAACTGTTCTCACTGCCCTCCACTGAGAACTTTTTCAACACTTCACCTACGCCTCCACTCTTTACAAAGCTCCTTGGAGCTCTTACTGTTGCAGTTACTGCAGTTGTCTGAACATTCTAAACATGCAGAAATAAATGCAAATTTGTCATAACTGCTTCAATAAGAGGTTCAGTATCTCTTTTTTTCTGCAGTAGCTGCAGCTGAGGAAATCATGAAAAGGTGGAGGGCTCTGAGATCTGTCACTTCAACAATTCAATACAACATTAAACCCATCCTCTTTTGGTTAACCTTCTCCTTTCCTTGCTTTTTTGCTTCTTTCCATTGATAATTTGGTCTTGTAACTTTTTTCCCACTGGTCCCTTGTAACAGGATGCAGAATATTCATATGAAAACTCACCTGGAGTTGTACCTTCCAAGAAACAACAAAAATGGTAGTGGAAAAATGCAGAATTTTCAAGGGGCAACCTGCCCTGCAACTAACCCCAACTGGGTTGGTTTTGGTCTCTGAAAATACATTTTAAAAACTAAGGAATGAATGGCAGTTCTTCCAAAGTGTCCTTTCAGCATTGGTGGCTGGGCAGTCACTTGTGAGACTGCAAAAGTAAGAAGCAGAGTTTTTTGTCCCTTTTGCTAAATGGCTCAGTAGCTGTTCTCAACAAACTGCAAAAAAATCACTCTGTCAGTCTCTGGTGACATGACAGCCTCTCTTGTGTTGAACAACTCCTAGAACAAGCCAAAGGTTCTCAGGGTGGCTTGAATCATGAAAAATAATCCACATTGCCAGGTTTGGATGATATGATAACCTCCCATGCCTGACTACCTGCGCTGAATTGCTGTGTTGTGCAAAACAGGCTGTTGTGGTTATTCTATTTATATCCTGCCTTTTTTCCACTCAAAAGAAATCAAGGCCGCTTACAAAATTCTCTTCCTTTCATCTTATCCTCTCAACAACAGGCCTGAGAACTCGGTTGGGCGAAGAGTCCATGATTGGCACAAAGTCACCCAGTGAGCTCCAAAGTTGAGAAGGGACTAGAACGCAGATCACCTGAGCCCCAGCACTCTTAAAGACTATACTCCACCAGCTGGGCCTGACCTGTTTCAAGGGCCTCAGGCAGTGATGGTGTAGAGCATGGGTCCTCAAATTACGGCCCAGGGGCTGGATCTGGCCCACCATGCCCATATATCAAGACCATCATGCCCATTTGGACCTGCCACATGCACACCTACACCCAGGTAGGCAGTGGTTTGCTCGCTTGGAGAAAACAATCTCCAAGCAAGCAAGCAAGCAAGCAAGCCGCTGCCTCGTGCGCCCGCCTTGCAGCACGTGCCTGCCTCTGCCCCTAACTCACTGCGTGCCCTGCCCCCGCCTCAGCGGGTGCCCACCCATGCCACCCCCGCGCTGGCCCGTGCTTACCACCGGCACCACCTTTCCGGCCTGCGCCCAACACCGGTACCTTTCAACTGGCCCCCTAGTGGAAAAGTTTGAGGACCCCTGGTGTAGAGTAACCCCTCTGAGATCTTTCTAGAGAACTTGGTGCTGGGGTGATGGATACATCGCGACACCTTTCTGTGGCTCTCCCATTAATCCTGGAGCCTATTCTTCAGAAGACAATGGGTTGGGATCCTCAGAGGATAAGGGTTTGGGGCTCTGACCCAGGACACACAGTGGGACATTCAAGCACCAGCCTCATTACAGCATAGTGCATAATTTTAAACAATGAGAGATACCAAAGTTTCAATCTTTCCTGTAAACTCTTCCTAACCCCAAATGTATGCTAGAATATGATGGTGATGAGGGAAGTACATTGAACTTTATCGCCTGGATACTGAACAGTAAACTAAAGAGCCATCTCAAATATCCTAGCTTCATTCGACCTTCCAGACTGGCAACTGATACCTTAGAAACATGTTTTAATCATGTGGACCTTACCAAGCAATGATTCACCCCAGCCTTCCTGAACCCAGTGCCCTAGAGATGTGTTATGCTATAAATCACATCATTCTGAGCCAGCAGAGAGATGAGAGGTGTTGCAGTTAGACAAGCGGAGGGAGCAGCAGGTTTGATTGACACAACCATGAATTCGCAGTAAAAAAAGAATATGTTAACAAAGAAAGGAAAGACACAGGAATATAATTTAAAGTTTTGAGAAAGGCCGGTGAGTGATCCAGAGTTGCTAATAAACATTTTCTTTAACCGTAGGCATGATCTATAATACATTAACCCTGTATGAAGGCTATTTCCTAAATGTTTATAAAACTTTTTAAAAATTAAAACTCATTATGATTTGATAAATAATGATGTTTTGCAGAAAGGTAGGGACACTGTGTAAAATTTGAGGCAGAAAATGGTGGGAGCTGGATGAAAATGTAAGGTGTGAAATATGATTCTAAACCTACAAAATAACAAATGATTAGACTTGCTGGTACATCTCTATGGAAGTGATTAATTCAGTGTGCTGTTACTGAAACAAGGCAATAAGACTAATAAGATAACACACAATGCTGTCTACTGAAATGTTATACTGAAGCAAAGTGATTAAGAAAAATAAAAAAGCAAATTTATGGTTCAAATGGTCATTTAGAAGAATAAAGACTAAGAAAACTGTGTTTTATTAATACATCTTTTAATTTTTAAATGCATGTGCATGCCATATTAATGCTTTACCATGGAGAATCAAATCCGTGGAACCAGTAAGGGCTGGCCTGCTACTGAGGTTCACAATATTCCATTGTTATATTCAGTCAAAGTTGCAAAGCTTTTCCTTCATAAGATAAATGGCACGCTTCAGCTTTAAAATCCACAGTGCAGTATATTTACATGAGGAATGGTTCCAAGGACAGAGGGATCCTGGTGCAAACACCGCAGCCAGCGTTTCTTCCCTTTCACAGATTAAGGCAGCAGTGGAGCTGTCAGCACTGTCACGGAGCTCTCAGGATTAAGTACAGCTCAGGTTTTGTAAAAGGTATTTTGGAAACAGGAGGGAAACAGAGGCCAAGTGTTACTTTTCCACTGGACTGAGAGTCATTCTGGGGCAAACAGGATGTATTCAGCCTAATTCTTGGAATTGCTTGGTCTTCTAAGTCAAACAAAGAATTCCACCTACCACATCACTGCCTCCTTGCTCTTAGCTAGGCTGCTCCCATGTCTTTGGACAGCTTCAGTCAAGCAGCCATTTTTGTATGATCTGGACTACAATTGTGACAGGGCTGGGTACATTCAAGCATGGAAGCTTGTTCAGAAATAAGCTCTGAACACATAGCTTTCTTGGTGACACTGCTGCTTTCACTGGAGTAGAGCTGGATTGTGGCCTGATTTTGAGCTGAAAAGATTCATTTAATAAAGAAGGTCCATGAAGTGGCTGAGATATGGAGCTGATTTTTACACTAACAGAGGAAGGAAGGGAAGTGTATGGCATATTTAAAAGTCATTAATAATTTAGCTTTGTTTGGATCTGCTCCAGAACAGAGCTGATGAGCCAAGCACTCCTGACAGGTGGGTTTAATGAGCATAAACTCAGCAGAATTGTAAGACTTCTGTAATTCTAGTGCCTGTGATTCACCTAATTCTTTTTCTTTCTCTGGCAATTGTTTTTGGTTTGATCTCATCAGTTCTCCCGCAAGAGGCAATATGTATGGTGTCAAAGCCTCTGCTGAATCACTATGGTGACGGCAGCTACAGGAACTGCCTTGTATCACAGGTAACAAATACTGGTTAGCCCAGGAGAACTGCCTCCCTATAGTCTCTGAGGAGACATATATAAGCTGAATGCCAGCTTTGCGATCAACTGCTTGCAATTCTTCTTCCAGTGACAATTCCATTATTTTTTACTGGTCAAGGTCATTGTATTGGGAACATGAGAGTAAGCGTGGCTGCCTTCATGTCCTGGCTGTTAAGACTTTGGAGCTTCTACAACAGAAGTGCCTCTTTGAAGCATTCAGTGGTGGGAAAGAGCAGCAAAGGTACTAAACAGATGCTTGGCCTTTAGCATAACTGGAAGAAATATCTGACTCCAAAGGTACTTGAGCAAATGAAGGAACAAGTATACATTACTGTATAGCCAGCAGGAAAATACAGTGAATGCATAATTCTCAGAACAAGTACCTTCTGGAATTTTAATCTCGTCGCAGCTGAACTACTAGGCCTGTATGGATTACACAGTGTAAAAAAAATACCCCTTGCACTGGAGTAGACAGGCACACGCCTTCTGTGTTCACAAATAACAGAAAAACTAGGCACAGCACAGGCACAGAGTCTGTAGTATAAAAATAAACGTATCTCATTACTTATTTTTAAAAGGTGATCAATCAGGCCCACAAAGCTTAAATATTTCAGGGAAACTGTGCTACTCACGATTGAAGGTTGCTGGTAGGGTCCCAGTTGCTGAAGACTATGGGGCAGAGCCTGACTGTCACTGAGCGGTGGGCTATAAACCCGCTGAATAGCAGGAGGTATTGCATCAGGCATAGATGAGTAGATGACACTCTGCTGGCTGCTCTGGGAGTCTGAATATACAGTGGATCCCTGACCGCTGTCAAATGTGCTATCAGCTGAAACATGGTTAAAAAATTAAGGTTATCATAAAATAGATCTACGTAATTTGAGACACCCCCAAACACAAAACATTTGTACCAGAAGTGTGTAATTGTATTTTAACAACAGGCATTTGCAATGCCTGTGCATCATTATGGTGCCCCAGTGCATCAGCCTCATCTTGCGTTTTTTATGCATCCATTAGCTTGCACAGATGCCCCAGATCTGGGCTTCTGGTCACTTTGCTTTCCCAATTATAAATAAAACCGTAGTTTGGGAAAGGAGTTTCTCCTTGTTTGCCTTTTCTGCCATTTGTTTCATTTCCACAATCATCCAGCATTATTCACATTGAAGGTCTCTCATGGAGGTAAGATGGTTTACCTTTCAAATATATTCATGCTGGGAAAAATATCAGGATTTCCAGTGCTGATACGGAGGGTTCGGATAATATAAAATGCAGATGACATGGAGGAAACTTCTCTGTATCCCCTGTCTATATACCCTTTGTGCACTTTAAAGGCACAGTCCTATCCACATTTAAATCTGGGAGCTGTGTGGCTTTTTTCTGTCCAACATGCATAGGATTGCTCTCTAAATTCCCTTTACTCTTCCACTTTACAGAAATCCAGCATGATCTGCATTCTAACATTCAGTCTGTATCCTCATAGCATCTAGTTAAACTTTGTGTTACTGTGGGTTCTTTTTAGTAGGTCTTTATTACTGCAGTCCAAAACGCCGTTCATGCTGACACAGGCAGTTCTTTCATATAAAGATCAGTGCTTTGAATGAAAATGCATATTTGTGATTTTGTGCATCTTTCAATTGTTCACAGTAACTGAACAGCATAGTGCATCAGAGTCAGTGGAATTTAGACTGTATGTAGCATGTGTGACTAGATAATAACATTTCAGTTTACTAATCCTTATTGATGAAGACACTTTGGTTTATAAACTTTAAAGTTAGTTTACAAAGGTATGCAAAAATGGTGCCAACGAAAGGAATTTGCCTACATTCATTTCTGTGTATTTATTGCATTTTTTGGCAATTTTGTTCTGTTGCTAGTATTTATTGCTAAGGAAAATTAAGAATGAAGAAAGTTCTAAGGAAACTTGCTTTCCAGCTGCACTGAAGTATGATGATAAAGAATGGGAAACTGGCTACAACCAGAGTGACTGCAATAGCATTTATATAAATGCTTCATGCTCTGGTCACTTTATTTACAAAAATATAACTTTAACCCCAACCCTAAAGCAAGTGAAAAATAGCTAAGATGTTTATGACTTAAGGAACAATTCACAGTTTGTAACTTTTTGCCTGAAGTCCAGTTAACTCCAACTAATCTAAAGCCCCAGTGTGCAAGCATCCTAGAAGCCAACCCAGTACCTTCTTTCAATTTGAAACAAAACATTTACAAGTTAATTTTAATATTTAAAGCAGGGTATTTCCTGAAGGCTACTGAACCTTGTAGCATATGTGCATCTGAACAATTTAATTTTTAGGCAGAGCTATTATTTATGATAAAGCATTTATGGAAGACACGCTGTGCAGAAGAACATAAAGAGCCCTAGTGAATCAGACCTAAGATCCTTCCAGGATGGTATCTTGTTCCTTGTAGGAGCCAACCATGTTATCCTTGGGAAACCGATCAACAGGACTCAAGTGCAGTAGCTCTCGCCTACTGTTTCCAAACAACTAGCATTCAGAGCCATGCTATTTCTGGTCCTGGAGGAAGGCTACAGCTGTCATGCTTAAGCAGCTACTGATCGCTTCATTTTTTATTATTTCTTTCTAATAGCCTTTTAAAGTCGTCACTGGGATGTATGAGAATTTCTGCTTCTGTACACATCTCATTTGAACATTTTCCATTCATGAACACGAACACTTTTTGCAATGTTCACAAAGTCCCACATTTGAGTTTGTTACAAAAATGTATATTCTTTTGAAAATCTATTTACTGAAATGTGTTTTAAATGCATTTTTGTACTTTACACAGCACAATGCACTCAATAACAGAGGCTGCCTATAGCCCTCCAAACTTGGAATATTAGGCACATCCAACTGATGGTGGGAGAGACGCAAAGGTATCTCTCCTGTCCTGCAAAACACTTAAGATAGCCTGTCTTGTATTCTGCCCTGGAGCATGAGCAGAGGAGTAAGCCTGTCTCATCCCCTCCACATTCCAAAGCTCTATCTCAGAGGTTGTTTTTTGGGACCTTGCAGTCACAGCAGGTGCATTTCCTTCTAGCTGCAAGGTTGGAGGGAGGGTGGTCTGAGTTTCGAGTACAAGTTCTGACCTTAGATGAACTCCCGAATCTGAAGCAGTGCATACTGAATCATGCTGGATTTTTGGCTTTTAACTTTTAGGAACCATCCAGAGAGTTTGGCTAATAGGTGGTACAGAAATGCAGGAAATCAAGTAATAAACAAACAAATGAATAAATGAATGAATCCCATGATGATGTTGAGTCCAGTTGCAGTGAGTTGCCCGACACCTCTGATCTGAACTTACTAGTTTCCAAGCAATCTATTGCCTGAACCCTTCTGTCTGTGCTGATACTGCACCAGCCACTGTGTGCTTCCCTATTTGTCCACCAAAATGTCAGTACTATAAACCAGGATCCACCATTAAATCATAGACAAGTGAGATCTTACTCTGGACTTCTGTTCATTGCTTAGTATATAGCAAGGCTTGGGGTGTTTAATAAAGTAGACAATGTTATATCATAGGTAAATTTAATCTCATAAGACAAATTATTTGTAACTAAGGAAAAAATGGAGTATAACTATTCAGAACTAAAGCAAGCTTGAAAGCCAAGCCTGGATTTTTTTTATGGTTCATCATGTTGTACAGAGATACTAAATTATTTATCTACATCTTTGCCCTCTTTGAATATTGCAGACAGCATAAAGGAAATTATTTATAGGGCTTTTAGACACAAAAGCACTATGCAAGCATCCAAACAGCTTATGATACCAAAGTTGTAAAATACAACAAGCAAAATATTGGAAGTAGTGGGAGAAGATACTACTTTAATTATGAATACACATTTCTGTTTTGTAAACAGATGAAGTATACACCTTGCCTTACTGAAACAAAGCATATGGCTAGAGATTTGCATTAATTGAGTTTCATGTATGCAGCTCTTTGAGCTGTAGTTCTCAGAACATTACCCAATTGACTTCTGTTTTATTAAAAAAAGGAAATGGTAGCTGACCATTACAGTGAACCCTAGAACATGTTTGACCCAATCCACTGCTTGGCAAAGCCCACACACACTTTTGTGTGCTGTGTCAAGGCATATGGGGGGATGGGCAACATGCAAACCACAAGCAGCTCCTATATGTTCCCTGATACACCCTGAAATGATTTTTTACACAAAAACAAAAAAACAATATGGCACTGTATAGCTACTATGGAATGTTAAAATCATCACATTTAGCTTGAAACCTGCACATTTGTCCATTTTTGTGCTACTCAGGGCAGTTTGCCACTCAATTTCGACATCAAAGTGGCAATTAAAAACATTTTTCCCCACTCTCCACTGAGCAGGGGCTTGGGGGCATCCATCTGTCCCTTTGTATAGCCTCTGTGGGTCATTTCTTCCTTTTTTCTCAGGGGAATCTGTGTGTGAAACTGCCTTGACCAAGTTAATAGAAAGGCACATTTTCTCTGAGAATTGAATAAAGCTAACTGCTCCACTCCCAGTTGCCAGGCTTAAGGTATGGGTTGTATACTGTACCACTAAAGATGGTCTGTTGTAGTTCCAGCAGCTACACTGCAAATCACAACCTGCACTGCTTCAGTTTTAGCTGTTCTCTTAGACCAATATACTAGAATTGGTTAGATAATATTTAGAGTAGATTCTTCAGTTTACATTTATGGAGTGATTTACTTATTTTGTTCACAAATAACTGGAATTTGCAGAACCAGATAACTTCTCCAAATCTCATTTTCCCCTCATTGTCTCTGTAACTTGGGTAATTAGCATACTTTATGCTGGCAATTATGGTCTCCTGTCTAATATATCATACAATCCACAAATATGCTAGCACATGATTCTCTATTTGACTTTAATTAGATTGCCTGCATTCTTCATTATCAGTTTATTGTAATGTACACTCAGTTACTCGGTCAAGTGGAACTACTGGCAGCACAGAAAAGGAATGCAAGACTTACAAGCAAGCGAAGTAATGCTTGTGGGTAGATTCTGTTGAGAAATATGCTGGTCAGCTTCAGGTTCTTCTGGCTCTGACAGGATGTGATGACCAGTGTGAGAAAGATAGGTAACCTGAACTGGTTGTGCTTGTGGGGCCTTTGTTTTTTCCAAACTCTCAGGATCCCGATTATCCTCTGACTGCAACATAGGCCAAATCCGCTCTCTTCTCCACTGTATTAATGCTACTCGGTCACGGATTGACTTTGCAACTATTTTGACATCACTCTCATGAAAAAATCCAGCATCGATCTGAAAGAAGCCGTGATAAGATATCAGGTATGAATCCATATTCATTAGCATATTTTCATTCCTTGGACTATTTACTCACTGACAAACACCCACAGGACTGTTCAGATTCCCAGCTCCACAGCTGGGAAAGCACTCCAGCCTTGAACCATGGGACTGCACTCAGATCCCCCTTCCCCCACCCAAAGGTGATCTCAGAGAGGGACTTCTGCAGGCATTCCAGGGGGTATGGAGGGGAGGAGAACAGGACCATCAAAATCGGAGATATTCTGGCGGCCCCACAGTCTCCTGCCCTTCCCCTCTGAAGTGGCAAGCCACAGCTGATTGGCCAAAATCATCCACCTGAAGAACAATAAAGGGAACCAAAACAACCTTCCCTTCTGTGCTTCTCCCCACTCTGCATAGGATGTCTGTGAACCAAGTTTAGACCATTGGGATGAATGGATCAACTGGGTTAATTTGAGCCTCGAGGCATTTTTACAGATGATTTAGGATAGTTGCTGAAATTGCTGTTGCTCACAAAACAGTGAAACAGTTGTAAAATGTGCAATGGGTCCAAAAGCATATAACTTTTTTATAAGGAATCATTTGATATGAACAAATCTTACCCTGTTTAAACATATGTAGGCTAACTATTTATTTATTTATTTATTTATTTAGCGGACTTATATGCCGCCCCATTCGCCTAAGCCTCAGGGCGGCTTACAAATAAATAAATATCATTAATACAATTGTAATTTTAAAATCATTGCAGTTCTACCACCTTGAGACACCGTAAAGGGCAGGATAAATAAATAAATAAATAAATAAGATTGACTGTTAGTGTGAATTACTTTTTAAGGCAAAGCATGAGAAATTTTAAAAGGGGCATTTTCAGGGATAACAGACTGCCATCATATTTGGCAATCAGAGTTCAAATAATCTTAGGAGTCTGCTTCATGAATAGCCAGCATATGAAATTTTCAAATTACAATGCAGCCTGAAAAGACAACTTCTGAAACATGAAAACCCTACAGAAGTTTCAAGTTTACAGGTAAAAGCATCAACACTCTTTCATAAATGACAAGAAATAAGCATCTTGTCAGAATATCTGAAGCACAGTCAAGTACAGTGCTTAAGATGACTACCTTTGCCATCTTTCATCTGAGATCTATTTTACCAATTTCAATTTCTTCTATGGATTAACTTTTTTCTTTGTAACAAATGCAAAGCCTGCTGGATGAAGCATGAAACAAGTGCTTTCTCTCCTGTGAATTTTTCAGCTGAACAACTGCAATAAATACAGGCTTAAAGTAGCAACCTTTACGCAAGAAATTGTAATGTCTAATGTAGTAAACCCAGATCACAGTAATGACCAGGTAAGTGAATTCATATGAAACCATTTCAAGAGCTCTCCTGGCAGTAAATCGAACTCTGAGATTTAGGCCATGTTATGATTCATAATATGATGTTATACTTCCCTGAAAATATCTAATTTATTCAAAGGACAATTTGAACTGAAGTACCTGATTTTAAGCATATTTAGCTAGCTTTATTTCAGTTGGAGCAAAAAGTAGTAATTACCAAATAATTTGGGAATTCTAAACTAGGGGTCCTAAAATATGTTTCCACCAATTTAGAAACTGGTGAATATACTGTAAACATTGCAATTACTGCTCAAAATAAACAAGAAGGTTGGTCAGCTACCAGCTCCTGGCTTAGAGAAACTGGCTTGTTCTTATGACAGACATTTTGATGGATTAGACAGAAAGGCATAGGACACTTTTTGCTCCATTTGAAATGTCCACAGAGCTTCCTTATTACTACATGGAGAATTGATTTACCAGTGTCTTAATCCCTATATTCCATCAATAATCTCACTGAGATAGTTGCTAACGTGACAACTTTGTGATCCACTTGAGAGCTTTTAATACATCAGAAAAAATATTTCCATGTTGGTGAGTCACAGTACAATGGGTTTCTACAGCAATAATCTAGAAAATATTTTATGGAAACCACTTAGGGAAGGTCTTAGAAAAAAAGCTTTCATGTCCCTCACTTATGGTTCCAGATGCATTATGGTTCCAAATACATTTGAATAGCAATAAAGTTATTAAGGCTATTCTGTGGGAGACTGAAATCAGAGACACATTCTTAAGAAGATCACCCTTGCCATTTAAGCAACATTATTAAATGGCAAGCAAATCCTAGCACAAATTTCAAATCAGCACATTGCTTTTTTATATGCATATAGCCAAAACACATTAGGAAAACAATAAGCAGCAGTGCTTTTGCCATCAAATACAGGTCTATTCATACTGAACAAAATCATGCCATTTAAAAGCACAAACCTGTATATGTCTACTGGGAAAGTGGCTTTATCTGTTATAACAGCACTTAGTTTCAGGTAAATGTGTATAGATAAGCCTCTCTCAACCTTAAGTTCCAGATGGCATTTGACTACAGCTCCCATTGCCCTCTGCCGGTGTGGCCTAAGGTCAGAAATGATAGGAATTGTACTCCAGCAACATCTGAAGACCCAAAGGTTGGGAAGGGCTGGTATATAAGATTACAGCTTAAGAAATGCAGGAAGTTCAGACTAACAGTTACTCAAGAGTTGCTTCTTAAGTTACTTTTTTCTCTTTTTTCCCTTTTCTGAGTACAGAAATTGATCTAGTCGGATAGGCATTTCATGTACTGGCTGCTCAGTCCCTACACCTACGCCAGAAAACACATCCGCATTGCCTTTCTGATATTACAGAGGAACTAGTTTCTTCTGACACTGTTAGTAATTAAACTCTTTTTGTTGGATGGTCCTTCTTAATCCGGTTCTGAAAAATCTGAGCTATTATTTTTCATGAATCCCAGATGAAGAGGAAGAAAAGAAAAATATGACACATTCATCTTACAACAATAGATATCTATTAAGTACATAAAATAATTCAGCAAGTGAACATGGCAACATTTCTCTTAAAGATATGTCTAACCAACATGATTAGTGTCAAACCCTGCAAAGCTGTGTTTGTTATTTCAGTTTTTACTGAAAAATTAATTTGGACATGTTTTATCCTATTGCAAGGAGAACGAGGAGACTCCAGTCTGGCTGATTGTCGGTACATAATTTGTGAAGGTTTTGAAGTCATCCAACTAGATGCAGGTGCCAGTACAAGTTTTGAGAAACTGACATTTAATTCTAAACATGGTTTTTAAAGGGATATATAAACCAAGTACAAGAGCATCAACCTTCTTCACTTTTCCAGATTCAATATTATTTATCACTTTCTAAAAAAAGTCTGTGCTGAACCTTTTGAATGGAAGTTACTTTCCATTTCCATTGCTTCTGGTGTCCTTTCAAATTTATGTATGTTTTTAATTATTTTTGGTCAGGTGAAGTTTATTTTACCATTTCTTGTGCAACATCATCAGGAGTTTCCTTCTCCAGATCAAAAGTAAACTCAATGGCTCCATTATCTTTGGGTTTTCCTTTCAGTTTCTTAGGATCTTCTACCCAGAGTCTTAAGGCAATAGAGGATTTCCTACCATCATCTTCTTCTGCAAGTTCCACTCTTACCCCAGTATCTTCAGCAAAAAAGGCATGGCTTAGTAAATCTTTAATTTCATATCTGGAAGAAGGAAAGATTTCAAAAGCACATTAAAGCACTACAGTTTTCAAGACCATTTTATTGCGCATTATTATCCTGCCTTTTCTCTTCCTGTGAGAAACCCAAGGTGGTTCACAAGTTCTTCCTCTTCTCTATTTTGTTCTCACAACAATAACCCTGTAAGGTGGGATAGGCTGGCCTGAAGTCACCCAGCAAACTTCACAGCTGAATGTGGACTTCATCCCAGATCTCTCAGTTCCACATTCCAACACTCTAACCACCATGCCACACTGGTTAGGGTATAAGCCTACAAAAACGAACAGAGAGGCCTTCAGGAGGTTTGTGACTGTCATGACTACTGCTCCTTGTTAAAACATTAACAGAAGAACCCACACAGCTCACAAAAAAGCCTGTTGTCACAGAGGTAATCCAGAATCTAACAACTTCAGGCTTATTTTGAATAACTTCATGATGGTCAGGTATTTTGTACATTTTTACTTAGCTATTTCCAGCAATGGGAATGGATAAACTAGCCAAAACTAAAAGTACAGTGGATCTGCCTGATGTACTGAAGTGCATCTCCTGGCTTGTTAAGCTCCTTACAAACTAACATCACAAACCAGGATTTATTTGCACCATGTACACAACTGATTCACACTAAGTCAGAACTCCACAGAATTCTAGCTTACCATTATATAGAGGAGACAATGCAAAGAAAGTAGCTGGTGGCAGAAATCTTCTAGTTATATCCAGGCTCAAATGACTGCAGACAAAATAGCAAACAGCTATGCAACTCAGACACCAGCCAAAATGGGGGGGGGGGGGACCAGCCAGATCAGTCTCCTCAAGCAAGAAATCCCTCAACCTGGACTAAGCCACACAGAAGGCTTTTTCCATTAATTCTGCCTTAAATAAAGGAGACATTCAAAAAAGGCTTTCCAGAAGAGGAAGAAGATCATCCATTTGATATTTTGTTTCAGCCCATTTGAAATTCTGAAGGCAACAAAGGGCACCTTGAATTCGACCCAGAAACTGGTAACAAACGCAATTAGGATCCTAAAAGACCCATGATCCAGAAGAATAGCAGCAAACATTTTTTGCAGCAGCATTTCTAAGAAGTTTTTGTAGTTCCCAAATGCTTTCCAAGGGCAGTCCCATATAGATCCCCATTGCATGGCAAACAAGAGAGAACTAAGGCATGCATGCATCATCATAGCCAGGTCTGCTTCCTGTAGGAACAGGTACACCAGCCCACAAGCACTCTTAGCCACAGCCACCACTAGTGCAACTAGCAATACAACTGAGACAAAGAGAACTTCCAAACCCTATGCCTGACTTTTAAAGGCAAAAGCAACCCGAATCAAAACAAGCAATAACAGGCCTGTTATTTTTTAAGCATTCTGTCCAAAAATACCTCAGCCTTTCATTTCTTAACCTACACAAACCTTCCCCAGACTGGTTCTCCTAACAGATCCTGAGGCTGCTAACAGAGGGCTATGGAAAATTAATCAGATACATCTCGGAAGTAAAAGTTGGGGAAGCCTGCCCTAAATCCAGTTTTCACTTAACCCTAGAACTTGATGGAAATGATAGACCTGGGTACAGTTCACAGAACACTATTCTCCAAAATTTCATACAGAAGCAAAATAGATCAGACTTGATATGGAACCTTAGGAAACATCCTAATTAACCCATGGCCCGTGATGCCAGCTTCTAGAGCTCTCCAATTGCAAACTGATGATCCTCTCCATTCATTCCAGATTGGCCATCCAGAGAGATATGCTGGTGGATTGGATCAAAAAACACACTCCAGTTTTCAGGACTGATGATTCACTAGAGTGAAAAACGTAGATTCTGTCCAGCAATCAGCCAGCAACCATGCTGAAAAGTGTCTATATAATTAGTTGCATCCACAAAAACCTGTAGGAATACTAGTAAGTAGCTGGGCAACCTTTAAATCACAGGCCACATGCAGGTACATGCTACAGCCTCCTAATTTTTAATTTTGGAAGGGCATGACTGTAGTGGCTAGGGAGAACCCAAATTTAGCTTGTGTTCAAGCTACATGGGGCTCCTCTGGCAATCTGTGGCTACCATGGGGTGCCTAAATGTTCAATTTGGCTTGGGAACAGGTGATCACTGAATGCTGGTTTGGAGGATGCTGTGGTATCTTGTGCTAGGGGTCCGGTGGGCAAAACTGTCTTCCAGACCTCCAGATGTGTATCAACTTGAACCAGATGCTTTCCAATTTGCCAGCACCAACACACACACCAAAAAAAAAAAAAAAAGAATTAAAATGTCCTCAGCAAATACAATTTAAATGTAACAGAAAAGTGTTATTTGGAACAAACCTCTCTTCTTTATTTTTGCAAATGCACTCTCCAATTATCTCCTTTATTTCAGGATCAGTAACTTTATCAAAACTTGCCGGTTTGACACCCTGCAAGGGGGAAAAAGAGACATAAATAAGGTTCTCTAGAATTCTCTTCCAAAATGGGTTTATTCATAATAGATGTGAGTCCAATGAGACTGAATTACTAGAACCTGCTCCAGACTACTGTGTAGTACCAGCTATAATCAACGTAAAGCCAAATTACATACCCATTTGGCTCTTTAAAGGCAAAAGACTTGATTCTTGTTCTGTAGCAATGCAGGTGGTCCAATGAGCCTAAACTGGCTTCTTAATTTACTCAGTATCAGAGATATGTATATGAGATCTTTGGAAATAACATATGCTTATACATAATGTCTTAGGTTTATTTGAAAACATAAATCACTTTGTGGCACTTTTTATTCTGACATGAATGTTTGCAGACAACGGCATCTGATGCAGCAAGACCATGCTGTTTCAGATGCAAAAGATTCATAACACTCATGGAAGAAGTCTTCAGCTAGAGAAAAGGCAGCACTGGATCTAACCACCTTCTTCAGACCCAAGCCAAGATTAAATAGCACCTTAGGAAAATTAGTGGAACCCCAAAATAGTCAATATTATGCTTTTAATGCTAACTATTATTTTAATCTTCTGCCATTTTAGGGTGGTACTTAAGTGTTTGTGTTCTGAGGTTCATCATAAATGTTCAAAATAATCAGAGTTTAGGATCAGGTCATAGGGCACAGCAGTCCTTCCACTGATCCACTCAGCCTGGGTTTAGCACTGTAAGCTTGTCACTGCCCCAGGAGCATCTTGATACAAGTTGTGTATCATGATGTGCATGGGAGAGATAGGGTACCAGGCCTCAACCGAATATGGCGACCAGGATCATCAGTTCTGGACTGTGGGAATTGCCCATCTGCCCAAGGAGGCCAAAGTAGTACATGATTCAAAACAGGTACTGTTCTCCACAACAGAGATCAAAATCTAAGACGACAAGGACTGAGTGATGTCCTTCAACTAAAGGCGCATGGCCAGGTTTGAGGGTGAGACTACACATTACATTGATTATGTATTGTGCAGCTGCAACATCTACATTTTACTTGCTTTAAAGTAAGTGCAGTCCAGATTGGAACTGTGGCACATAGGGATGGGTGTTAGGTTAATCCACAGATCAGGAAATGGAGTATTGTTGGAGAAGAAAGGGGAAAATATTCCATCTCTAAGGGTGACGATCCTAGTGTGGATTAAACTGTACATGATGTACTTAATGTAACATGCAATTTAATCCTAAGCAGCTGCCTCTGGGGCCACAGCTCTGTAGGATCTGATGTGCTGCAATTAGCACTTTAGGTCAGCTGGCTGAATGCTCAAGGTAGTTTTGCAATGCGGCCTACATGGCACTCTTGAAGTCCCAAGGTCGGACTTTCAAATGGATCATAAAAGAAGCAAGTGATGGAAACCCCAGCTGCTTTAAAAGGGCCAAGGGAAAGGCATGCACAATTCTGCATCCCTTACTTACACTTCATCCCTGCACCTGAGAAAAGTCTGGAGTAGCCTCACAGATATAAAGAGCACAGATGGGAAGGCATACACAGCCTAATCAGGGGATCTGGAGTATCCAACACAGAGCAAGAGGAGCGGTGAAGGTGATCTCTGCCTTCTTGCTCATTTCGCTCTGCCTATTTGTTAGATGGCCATTTCTGGTCAAGTTCCAGTCCTTGGAAAAGCAACCAGCTTCGATAAATGCCATCAGGGGAAGTGCAGGGGGGGGGGGGTCAGAGCATGGATTCCTGTTCTGTTTCCAACCTCTCATCTGGGAAGCCAAAGTATCTTATGGCCCTCCCTAAATGACATCCAGGGGCCACAAGCTGTATCCCTCCATATGTCTACTTAGTGATTATTTCACAGATACAGAATCCTGCAACAGAGCCATGTCTTCATGCTAATGGGAAAAACTGACATGTGCTAGAGCAACTGATTTTTTAAAAACAAAGATCTTTAGCAAATGTATAAAATGCACTAGTCGTATCTGTCTTCCTGCTCCTTTAATGATCTGTTGTGTCCCTGTTCAGCTTGCTTTAAAATCAGATACAGCTATTGTAAAATAAATGAAATACTGCCTGCCCTGTTTGCTTGCAAAGTTCTCAAGATAATATCACACACATAACCCAGACAGACTAGATGGTTATTGTGAATTCCAAGAAAATGAAGATTAGAAGACACAGTGAACTCAAAGTTAGCTCTGTATAAGTTACTCTAGTCTTGCGTACGAGCTGAATATTTCATACAAATCATGCTGAAAGGTCTTGGGAAGAAATATTTCCCAGACAGCTCTAAGCTGCTGTGTAGTTTTTATGTTCTTGTAGCGGATAATCACAACATTGCAACCTCAAGGGGGGAGAAGATATTTAAGGCTAGACATACTTAACAGAGGAAATGCCACTTTGAACACAGTGAGGCTTCTGAGTAAAAAAGCTCAGAATTGTGTTGCACAAATATAAAACAGGTAGGAAATCTGCATTCTTAAAAACAACATAATGACAAAATCTCTGAAACTATAGTGAAAAGATTAGATTGCACAATACTGCCTGAAATTAATTCCTAGTAAGGTAGACAGGTAGAACTTTTTACTGCATTTCCATTCCTCATCAAATCAGACTGAAGGAATTATTAAGAAACCATTCTCTGTAACACTACAACAGACTACAAATTACATTCAAACACATGTAACAAGCAACTTGTTGCTTAAAAAAAATTAGCTCTGATTTTGACTGGAGATCAGACTGAATGGTGGAATAGGGGAGAAAAGGAACTGTTTAGCAGGTACTGACAGTTATTATCCCTACAAGTTCCTTTTGTCTTTGCAAGATCCCAGATGTGTGTTGAACCTCATATAAACCCAACTTCACACCCCAGTTAGCACAATCAATTTTAAGCCGTAAATCAGCTGGCAGTGATAGATAAAGTGCCCTTGCCACTCCACCTTTCCATTCAAAGTTGCCATTTTTGTGGCTGCTTTTAGTTAAAAGAAATGTTAAGGAATTGACCTTCTGAATTCTTTATAGGCCTTCTTAGGATCCCACAGGGCACCCTTCTCTGCCCTGTGTCACTAAACAACTACAAAAAAGATATTTAAGATGCAGACTACACCCGGCTATATTGCTTTTTTCCATCATGATGCAAGTAGGCTATGGATGTCCCAATTCGGTGCTTGGGTGTGCTAATAGAATGAATCAACCAGGACTCAGTCCTGACAAGATGCAGGTGCTCTTGGTGGGTGACTCATCCAGTTGGTGGGTGACTCATTCACACTTGGTTGAGTAGTGTTCAGTCTGTTCCAGCAGGAGGTAAAGGTTTACAGTTTCAGGGTCCTTAGATAAGCTTGTCATTCAAGTCTCAAATCTGGTTTGAAAACCCTTTTATCAACTGTAGTCTGAGCTGGGTTCATATGGGCTTGGAGGTCCAAACCATTCTGGACCCATGGGCACACTGGGGAATTTGAAAAACTGCTTTGGGCACTGCCACAAAATAGTTCCTGTGGAGGAAGTGGCTAGGCACATAATGCCTGCTGTAGAACCTGGCTAGTCAAAAGACACTGTGGGGCAGAGAGGCATAGCAAAGCAAGAGGCTGGATGGTGCTGGAACAGCAAAGAGGAGGGGGAAAAGTTGTAAGATAAAGAGGTGGGGCAGAAAAAATGCGAGGCTAGAGCATGAATATGGAGCAACTGCAAGATAAAGAAATGAGTGGAGGACAAAGAATAAAGCAGAAGGCTAGCAAGGAAGATGAAGAAGGCAGCTAGGGACAGGGAAGGAAGATAAAAGGCAAGGAAAGGGGTTTTGGAGGCTTGAGGCAGGGAGTGCAGAAAAAGACAGAGCTAAATCTGTGTGGATAAGAAGAAAACTAGATGAAACCAGGAAGCACTTCTTTCCTTCTCTTCCTGCCTGGTGACCAATAGACAGATATTTAAAAGTGGCAGAGAAATAGAGTTTCACTGGTGCTATCCTTGGGGAGATCCCTGGACCAAATTCTTCATTTGACACAAGAAAAAAAGGCCGATAACTAAACAGGACTAAGCATTTTGCTCATAATATGCTTGTAATTTATCATCTCCCTGGCTTCCAGTCTGCTCCCAGACATAGTATAAAGTACAGTTTTTATACTATCCTCCACAGTGTAACTTTTAGATGCCTTACTACAGAGGATGGCACCTACTTCTGGCCCACAGGCTGGATCCACTCCTAGCCTAAACTGGCAGGTCAGATTATGTCAAGGTAGTAGGGTCTCATTTATCAAGCCCACCCCATCCACCCTCCCTCTCCTTATTTTAGAATTAAATCCTAATTTTCAAGAGCCAGAAGGAGATAGAATTCAGACAAGGCACTAAAAATTCTAGCTCTGGGATTGAATTTGTTCTGGAAAAGGTTGTCTACTCCATAAAAAGTGAAATTTATAGCTCATGCATGATCCTTGAACTACCCTTTCCTTTGTTTACAATGTGGCAAAACATGTGTTTGTGCAACTCCATTTCGTGCACCAGCTAAAACAGTCTGCTTATTTCTGCTGGTTATTTCTGAACTAGCCTGGTCTGGTAAAATTCTCCATGCCTTGGTTAGCATAAAGTTAAGAATATTGCAGTGTTCTTTATAGTGCTTCTCCTGAAATACATCCAAAAGCTTTAGTACAAAGAAAATGCAGCAGCTAGGCTGCCAAGCAGTGCTCAACATCGAGAACACATTACTTCAATATCAATATTGCATATCGACAGCCATTGTGGCATAGTGGTTAGACTACTGGCCTGGGGATCTGGGAGATCCCGGTTCTAGTCCCCTCTCAGCCACGGAGCTCACTGGATGACTTTGGGCCAGTCACCAACTCTCAGCCTAATCCTTCTCTCAGGTTTGTTGTGAGAATAAAATAGAGAAGAGGAAAAACTTTGAGGCACCTTGGGTTCCTTGCAAGAAGAAAGGTGGGATCTAAATACAATAATAATAATAATAATAATAATAATAATAATAATAATAATAATAATAATTCAACATTACAACATCTGTTCTTCATACAC